GATTATGAGCTAGGTATGGCCTGCGACCTTTGGTCTAGGGAAAAAAAAAACACTTCAACCAAATGTATTAAAGTTCTCGTATCTCCATTACCAGTCGTTTCATTCTTTGAGTTTTGAAGTTGAGAACAGTTTTGTAAAATGATAGAAGAATCCAGGTAACATGATCCATAGAAATTAGTTTTTTCTTGTCTGAATGGTTACTTGTAAAATGCACATTGATTATTGTCGAAAAATATTCACCCAATGTACGTGACTTGCTAGTACCCGCTTGCACTCTAATCTGTTTTCCTTTGCAAGAAATATTTCTATGTACTGTACGTATGTTGCACCTATTTTGTACCGTACATAGTCAACCGCGCTAATCGGAGGTGCAGGGAAGGACAACAAACGAAACAAAATAAAGCATTTTTTAAGAAATGAGTTTTCAATCGAGATTTAAAAGTGCATAGCTCCAATGGCTTCCAAATATTAGAAGGAAGAATGTTCCAGACTACCGCTGAAGCGCATCTGAAAGCGCACGATGCAGTGACCGTCTTCGATGGCCAGCCAAAATCCACTGCGAGGATGACCGGAGTTCGCGTGATGGTTTATCCTCCTTGACGAGATCAGCCAGGGATTGTGGTTAATTTGTGGCAAGCACGCTGTGTGTAATAAGTGCGTAATGTTTACTCCATTAAATTTGACTCCCTCTAACGTCATGTCGATACGTTAAATGGAGTAATTTTTTTTATCACATGTGAAAAAATCCGCTTATTTCAGACGTAGCCCGTGGAAGTGCCTGTCGTCCATGGGATAGGATTAATACGAGCGTAAAATCCGCCATCTGTGCGGCGTTCTGCTCTTCGTAAGGAAATGTTGAACCTCTTCATTGATAACCTTCGGTATAAAGATTGGTCACTCATTGCGTCTTGGCAATGTGATGTCAATGCTATCTGTAACAATCCAGCATCGCCACCAGTAGCTGTCAGCATGAGCTCAGCTGTGACATCTCAGACATCTGAGCTATGTTTTCTGGATGAATATAACTAGCACTGTACATGCATAATACATGAGTGGATGTTCAGCTCTGATAAGTCTCTTGAACTTTAGTAGTGTTGCTTTTTACATTGGGTCCACCTATGCTGCAGCTTTAAAAACGTTTTTCAGTCTTATCTGTTCAACAAAGAGAAGGAACGTGCCTGAGTGGATGTCATCCATGGAGACGGAGTGATACAATCAGGTCGTGTGCACATTCATCTTTCCAAAAGCACTCAAACGCGCTCTCGCCCACTCCTTTCATTTTGTTTTATTTTGTTCTCCTTGGTAATAAACAATAGTAACGCACCAGTGTGCCTCAAGCAGATGCTTTTTCTTGCTGTTTATTTGCCTGACACATGGGTCAGAGACACCGTGATCATTAAAGAAAAGTATAGAACAACAACTGGAATGGGTGCAAAGAAGCGGGGAGAAGATGCAATCAACATGGGAGACGGAGGGAGCAATGCATGTTTTAGACTTGCAGCGTTTCCCAACCCCCGGGCCGCAGATCGGTACCGGTCCGCGTGGCCTGTTAGGAACCGCACAGCAGGAGGTGAGCGGTGAGTCCGCGCGTGGCCCACCCGTTATTTTATTGACCACTTCCGTCCTCGCCTCTTTCCCGCACTGCGCACTTGTCTCAGTCACAGTTTTGGTAAGCCCACAAGCTGCTAACCCCTAGTAGCCACAATGAGTAAAAAACAAACGTCGCTGGAGAGCTTCTTTGAGAAGGGGGAAAGACCCAATGATGAAACCCCCCCACCCTCCCCCGGTCCGTGAAAAAATTGTCTTCCACGAAACCGGTCCCTGGTGCCAAAAATGTTGGGGACCGCTGATTTAGAGGCTATACACTCGGTTTAATAACATCAACACTTTTAATACAGTAAAAGCATGTGGGCTTGGGCAGGACACGTCGCTCCAAGTGATTATTGATGATTGTCATTAATAATAACAACGGAGGGAAAGCCAAGGAAACACTTGGAGATGGAGTGATGAAATAAATTCTTGCCGGGTGGATTATTGCATTGCGGGACAATGAGGGATGTCGACGGCTTGGAGAGGTCTTCGTCCAGCAGTGGATTGATCCATGTCTGATGATGATGATCTATTCGCAAATATCCTGCTGGGCTGCTGCTTCAGTCGGCACGCGTTTAGGTAATAGGCGTGAAAAGTTCAACTGTTACTTTGTAGGTCAAGTGGAATTGATTGTAAAGAGAATGCCACTGCTGTAAGTTAAGTCGAAGTTGTAACCATTTACCTCTCTACCCTCTGGCGTTTTGATGAATTGTCCTTGATTTAAGGTCACGATTCAAATAAAGAAATTCGTAATTGATTCTTGGGTTAAATGCCACGTAATCACGTGGCCAAATGTATGCTGTGAAAGCCTCCATTTACGTGCCAACTATCACAAGTTAAATGCAATGTAAGTTGTTTTTTTGGGGTAGTATAGTGGCCACCAGTGGCTGAAAGGGTCATTTGAACCCATGACATACGACGCGTGTGAATAGATCGATGTTGGTTCTCGCGGACACTATTTGGGGCCTGCATGCCAGGCTTAAGAATCATCGGTTCGTTGTTACTTATCTGCTGTACGTGGCGGTAAGCTCCCAAGAGTCTAACTTCAGAGGTCGCCAGTTCAATTTGATCTCCTAGCACGGGAGTATTTACAATGAGCAATATTGTTTAAGTCCCTCTTCATCCTCTGCCCCCTCTCCCGTAAACTATCCACCCAGCGGTATAAATGGGCCCACCACAGTCTATTGGCAGATCGTGTGCGGTGAGGTAAACTGTAGGGGGTACTCCAACCTCCATCAAGATATCTTACCAACATGGAAGAGTAGGCCAAACACCGTTGGGAGGTGGGGTGGGGGGGGGGGGCCTCTCTCGATCCCCCTCTAGTCGAGGCCTTTCCGCCAGCATTGACGTGAGCGAGCATTTGCAGGGCTGCGCCTTGACCAAAATCGAGTGCCATGTTCAGCAAATGCGCAAAATCTCCAATGCACAACACGTCCAAGGCTCTCTGCTGCACACAAAAAAACGAAAAGCAACGTTCCCAGCCAAGCGGGGGAGACTTAGCGGAGTCCACCGGAGCAGCAGGTGCAGGGTGTGTGGCACGTTGCTGGCACGGTGCTGGCGTTCTCGGCCTGTTTACCTGTCCCCTGGGCCAGGTGGCTTCTCGTTTGAAGTGCCCTCACTGCAACGGTGGACGGGACCCAACCCAAGGGTTCGGCCAAATTTTTTAAAAAAACATTGTACCGCGCAAGTTGAGGTCTCCGAGGAATGCACAGCAAATACGGATTATTTATTCAGCTTTTTTTTAATGCCGCTGTTGTGACAGCCCGAATGGCTTTTGTTCGTATTTATTTTTTAAAACGCAGTTGCTGAGCACAGGTCCAAAGCCCCAAAAATACCAAGTGGCGAGCAACGAACAGTACCCTGGTTTAACAACGTGTCGTTTCCTAAACATTCGGTGTGTTTACCGCTCCTGTTTTTTTGCAGTGCTGTATTGTTGAGCTGCAACTGATGTGAAATGATTTGAATAGGCGTTCTTGCATTGGGCGACACTCGGAGTGCAGCGCTATCTCGCCGTACATAAACCACGAAAGAATAGTGAAGGGTGATTTATTATTGAAAATGGAATTGATACAAGCAGTACCACATGTGAGTGTTGTCGGGAAAATGGCATGAAAGTTCTTTACCAAGAGCTTTGGCCACTGACCTAAGGGAGACAGGTTTGGGGTGAATTAAATGTGATGAACCCGTTTAATAATTAAAATAAAGTATTATCTTACAATCACTGAGGAACCACAGACAAGCTGTCAGGCAGCCAGGCTGTGAGCCTGCACCAACAATTGCCCCAGCTCTGCAGTCCTCTATATATTAAACATATTTTCAGCCAATTAGTGAGAGTGTTTTACATGTGGTAGGAAATTCGGAGTACCTGTTCAAAACGCACACTTGTCTGGGGGACACACTCAAGCTCGCACAGAAGGGACGGGCGATATTTGTCTGCGTTTGCTGCACTGCCTTCTGGCAAGCCATGTTATGGCACCTCGATGTACGGCAAATATAGCCGCTCGCTAACAGCACTCGCCACAACAGTTGCGCCCAATTACACAAGCCCGCAATATTGTACCCAATCTTGCAGCTCTGAGTTCTGCAGTGACCCGTGTGCGATGTTATTTTTTTCTTAGCCATCTGCTGTCTGCTCACAAGCTGCCCCTCCCCCACCCCGCGTGTAGAATTACCAAGACATTAAATTGCTTCAGGCTGTCGAGGTGGCTAGGTGGCTCAGAGGTCGGAGTGCCAAACCAGCACTGCTGAGATCCTGGGTTTTGAATCCAGGTTTTAGACACCCATGACCAATACGCTACCGCTACACCACACACAGCCAACACGCACCGCACACTGCCAACACGCCTCTCACGCCAACACCACGCAACTCTGGAATAATCTAACGTCCGTAAATTGAAGGTGCAACATTTCTTGAATTGAGCATGGTTATAAGGACTCAGGACACGAGATGATGGGATGGAATCCCACATTCGAGCAGGTGGTCGAAGTGAGAATGGAACAGTCGGTCTGGTAGGCTGAGTCCTGAACAGAGGTGGTGGAATCATTGATTAAAATCCATCGCAACGGTCACTATGGGCATATGGCCATAGCGATAGACGAGTTATACGTAGGTCACTGGCTGCCGGTGAGCGAGCGAATTATTGGAGTGAATCCATTGTTGCTGGATCATAAATCACCGCGGCTGCTGCTCTCTGTTGAATTAGGTGCTGCGTTCCAGACACAACAACAGGATCTCAACTCTTGGCCGAAATGGTGCTTTGCGCTGAAGTAATAATTGTTCAGAGTTTAACGAAGGCTTTTGGCAAGGGTCTGGAGGAAACCAAGCTCGACCTTGCTCATTAACTAACTTTCTCATTAACTAACTTGCTAATTAATTCACTTGCCCGCGTCTCTTTTTGCCTCTCCAACAGAGCACCTCCAGCCGTTGCCTCCAGCGCTCCTCCTCCCGTGCGTGGCCGAGGGCGGTAGAGACGTGACCTGCAGGCCGTCTCTGTATTTCTGGTTCCGGTCGCCGGCCGGCCTCTCGCTCGCCCGCCCGCCGTGAGGAGGAGGAGGAGTTGCCGTAGCGGTGGTAGTGGTACCCGGAGTCACCATGGCGACGTCGCTGCTCAAGAACATGGACAAGTACCGCGACGTGGACGAGGACCAGCTGCTCGGGGACCTCACGGAGGACGAGCTCCAGCGGCTCACGGACGAGCTCGAGGAGATGGACCCGGAGGTGACGACCCTCTCAGGCCCCCCCCCGCCACCCCCCTCCCCCCGTGCTCCTCCCCCCCTCCCGTGCTCTCCCCTCCCCCCCCCCATGCTCCCCCCACCCCGGGATCCCCCCCCCACCCCCGGGCTCCCGACCCCCACGACTCATATACCAAATAAATAATAAAAATAGCAATGATTTGGTTTTGAAGTAGCGCCTACTACGCATCTCCACAGCGCTTTACGGAAGACAAGCGACTTAACATTGCGCCTCGTTTTTCGATTTAAAGCTTTCGTGACTGCAGGGATTCATCTTCTTGGTTCTTTCGGTAAAGTCACGTAGAAGGGAAATAATAAAATAATAAAAATAAAACATAATAAAATAAAATTCTCACGACGTTTCGGCCACAACGCAAGCAGCCGTCCTCAGGTGAAGAACAGGGCTGTCGGAAAGACAGCGTCACCTGAGGACGGCTGCTTGCGTTGTGGCCGAAACGTCGTGAGAATTGTATTTTATTATATTAAAATTTTATTATTTTATTATTTCCCTTCTACGTGACTTTACCGAAAGAACCAAGAACATTGCGCCTCATCTCCACACATTTGAAAGGGCACCCCCAGTGGCAGCTGTCACTGTGGGCACAAGGTGACTCGGCAGCTCCTGGCCCGCAAACGGAGTCATTGTCCGCCCAAAGGGGCTGATGATGGCGACGGTTTAATCCCGGCCGTGTGAATCTGCCGGTTAAATCCTTGAACCCCGAGGCCAGCACACAAGGGCCTGCTCTTGCCAATGCCGTCACGAGGATCTTGAACGTCCACGCTCTTCCGAGTTGCACAACCCCAGAAGTAACTCTGTGGCTGTGTCAACCTCGTTTTTATTCTTGCGCTCGTTTATCCAGCAAGGCCTCACCGAGTCTCAAGACTCCTTTTCAGGAGGGTCCTGCAAAGTGTTTGCAGTAGGCATGTGTGTGTGTGTGTGGGGCGATGATTGCGGTGTATAATCCCGAGCGAGTAGTTTTGCAGGTGTCTTCAACTTCGGGACGTTTGGCCCAATGCCGGTAGTGTTGTGTGTGTGTCTGTTAATTGATTTACCGCGCTTGGGAAACGCGCGCCTTCAGAACGTAGGCCTGCCCGCCGGCATGCGACAGAAAGACCAGACCAAGAAGGATCCGACGGGGCCGTTCAAGCGGGACAATCTCCTCGCGCACCTGGAGAAGGAGGCCAAGGAGGTGGAGGACAAGGAAGATCTGGTGCCCTTCATCGGAGAGAAGAAAGGTAGCTCGTTCTCTGCTTCACCCACACCCTGGGATTTTTATATTCACTTGAGCATCACCCGTTGTGACATATGCAACGAAAAGGTTGATCATTCATGAAGGAAAATTGAAAAAACATTTTTGTAAATATAACACTGGTCAACACACTTTTTCTGGCATAAGGTATACCAACGGTTTTGATTCCAAATCTGGCATCAGTTTTTGTCTATCACATCAGGTTTTTGAGATATCAAATATTGCATTAAAAAAAAAACTGCAAAAGAAAGATATTAAATAAATGTGGATATCTACATAAAATTATATTATAAACACACTATCCTAAAAATACAGCACCATATTTTAACACTAAAGCAGTCACTGACTCGCAACAACTTGCAATCATAAGTGACAGAGTTAATTTTGGGTAAAATCAATGAAAATGGGGTATGCCGATAGCATAAAAAATTTACCCGTAAAAACAAAGTTTTTCACTCTAAATCCTTTATATGCGTGGCGGCTAGAGTCCTCTCGTCCTCTGGTTTGAGATGGCTGCCACCTATGGGTCAGATGATTGTCTGCCAACATTAAGCAATTGGTAATTAAATATTTAACAAAATTTCCCTAAACAGTGTAAAATTTTTGAAAAAAGTTTTCACGAAAATTAATTGTCGCGCACAACGAGTCTGTGTGGAAAATGTCAGCTCGATTGGATCACGGGAAGTGGGTTAAAAAACGACCGAAAGATTTGCACGGTCGTAAGCAAGCAAACAAGCACGCAAGCACGCAAGCACGCAAGCAAGCAAGCAAGCAAGCGAACTTAATATAAAGGATTTAAAAATGAGATGTGATAGAGCAAATCAGAGATCAGATTTGGAATCAGCACCCTGAAATTAGTCTAAAACAGCTGCAAAAGTCCAGGCCTGAATTTTTTGTTGTTGACCAGTGTAATTCAACGTTATTTTAGTTTAACCGCGTGTGTGTGACTTCATCACCGATCGTTGCGTGTTTCTTCCTGCAGGCCAGTGCAATGTGTTTCGGCTCATTGATCATGAATGTTGTTTTCTGGTAGTTTTACTTTCAAAGGTGGAAGTGATTGCCTGAGCATTGAGGCGGAGTTCATCTCCTGTTTATAGCCCTGCGCCAGCGGTGTACATTCCACATTCCTTCGGTGGGGGGCGAGTCTGACTCGTGTTGCTTATACCAGAACTGCGCTTCAACAAGGCGTGCTCGCAGATTCACACTTATCTCTTGCACTTGGCGTGACTTCGTCGTTTGCAGACGTACGCGACGGCTGCACGAATGAAAGGCTCGAGGATGATTCGTGCGTGCCACATGGCGCTTGGGGAAACTCGCTTCCATCAACGTGCCGGGAACCGCAATGTCACGTTAAAAGTGACCTTGTTTTGAATCGCCGTTTTCATTCAGCTCTGTAGACGCCTCCTCTGTTGTGACCAGAACGCCCGAACGCCTTTCTTGGTCACCGCCGCATTTCTCGTGCATTCTTGGTGTGCTTCCAACCGGCCGACCAAGTGGTTTCTGCAGTCTATTAGTGATAATATTTACCGTACAGTGCTTCAAATGATCAACAAGCCGTTTTTTTTCCCTCCCCCCCGAAGAGATAACATTTACTGCTGGCTGGAGCTCTTGACGGGCAGTTTGTAAATCGGCGTTAATGCGTATCTGGTTTTAGTTGTGGAGTGTTTGGAGTTACTGACCGTTTAAATCACCCGGAATGCGACCATCAAATCTTGGCAGCTAGGCAGGGTTGAGCCCGGACAATGCTAGGATGGGTGACCGCCGTGTACAAACAGCTTGCCATAATGACTGCGGGGCTACGCGATGGGCAGCAGAGGGTAGTGCGGCAAAATCCGTTGTACTGCACTCTCGTGTTCTCTCACGTCCATGCCCCCCCCACCCCACCGCGTTCACTGACCCGCACTGACCATTGTGGTGAAGTATGGTCAAATAACCCCTACGACCCACGTGGTGTGGGTTGATAGTGTGCAGTGCAGTGCATCTATAATCAGTGTGCACAATGGCTTCCATATATAGTGGTATCCACTTATAGATATCCAACTAAATTAAAAGGGCTCAAATATACAATTATAATGAGTGACTGAGGGCTGCCAAGCATGGAAACCTGTACGTGCGACAGCTCCCTCAGTCCCTCCGCTGCTTGCTCCGCTTTGCTTTACATTTTTAAGTGACTCCGTGTCACAGGATTTGCGATGCAATCTGCGAATCAATTTCCTTAGGCCGTGGCGCATGGCCACACTTCTCCTGGGATAGAGGCCACGTGCGTCTGCGTGTGCGCGTGTGCGAGAGACATGGGGAGCGGTGGTGTAGCGGTTAGCGCGCTGCGCTATGAACCTGACGACCCGGGTTCCATTCCCGCTCACGGCTAACACCAGTGACGATTATCTGAACCGGTCCTGGGCCTCCTCTAGGTCGACTCAGCCTTAAATGAGTACCTGGTGCGGTGTGTTAACATCGCCACTGGTGAGACAAAGGCGGTTGGGCGTGGTGCTGGCCACCCACCCCCTCGTTCGTGTACCGTTCCGGCCTTCATAGGTGCTCGCTAACAGCACTTGCCTCTACAGTCTGTTAAGGCTACACGGGGGATCTTTTTTAATCTTTGTGCGAGAGACATGGCTCCGTGAATCTCCATGCATGCTACCCACCTCCCTCCCTTCCTCTGTCAGACACGGAAAAGCCCTCGCCCTTCACGATATCCATCCAAGAGGCGGTGGTGGCGTGCACCATTTTAATGACTTATATATTTCACCGTGCGTGTGATATTCGTTGCATGAATGCATACTGCATACGTTATTACCGCACCGCCCGAGTTGGCGATCGGACGACCGTTTGTCCGTTTGGCGAAAATTTGCCAACGTTGCAAATAGTTTAATTATCACCATTGGAACCTCATTTGCCAGTAAAAAATATGATAATTGGTTTTTTACCCTTCCATCTGGCAACAAAACTGACACTTTTTTTACAAGGAGTCATGTTTGCATAGACCACAATACCTGCAGTCACAATGCAAACAAAAAAATTACTCTGATAATGTGCACTGTCCTTGAAGTTGATTGGTCCACACCCGAGACAGCTTTACTTAGAGCCTAGTCTCACATGGGTTGGACCAGATGACGCCAAAAGGCGCACAACTCAAAGACAATGCACCATCAGAGTATGAGTGCTCGGGGTAAGCATTTACACCATTGGAACCTCATTTGCCAGTAAAAAATATGATAATTGTTTTTTTACCCTTCCATCTGGCAACAAAACTGACACCTTTTTTACAAGGAGTCATGTTTGCAAACGTGTAAAAAAGGTGTCAGTTTTGTTGCCAGATGGAAGGGTAAAAAACAATTTATCAGTTTAATTATCATCATGATCGATTAAAATGCCATGACATGTCAGCAGGATTATTTCACGTAACTGCGGCATCCGTCAATGGGTCACCCTGTACAGTGTTAGCGAGGAAACATCCCTGCGCTGACAGCGGCGGCTGCCAGTACGAGCGTGTTGTTCATTCTGCTTGGCACGAGCCTTAATCTACCGCGGCGTGATGCATGTCACCGGCGTGGTGCCGTGTGCGGTGAAATGCCCGAGGTTGATGGGGTTTGATCTGTCGTCAGGACACTGGAAACGCACCCATGTTAGGCTCCGTGTCTCTTTGCCGCGATCGGTCTGCAATGCTTGTGAACCGCGCCTGACGTCGCCTGCCAGGGTTGGGTGGGGGTGGTGCCTTCCCTACATGGTCCTTATTTAGACTCGGCGGTTTAAATGTCACCCCCGTATCCATCATTCATCTTTATATATGCCATGATCATGCAGCGTTACTAATAACTGGGTTTTTTTCCTTTTCTTCTAGGAGGCATTTTAATTTAATAGTTTCCTGGACCATTGTGTTTTATTTATAATTTGTTATTATGTTTTTTTATTTATTGGAATGCTTAATCCCAAAGTGTTGTTGCGAATTAATCTCACGATTCAAGAATCGATTCTTTACAGCATTCTCATTCATTCCTCAGGCACTATTCTTGAAGTATATATTGTATTGGGGCCCCAGTGGTGTACAGTGCAGTCTCTTAACTACTATTCAATCCCATCTCTCTGGCCTTTCTGTGTGCTATGAAGAAGGGCAGTGCCCAAACTCTTGGCTATTATATGTAAATATATTCCTTTTAAGGCAGTGTCATAGTTTATAATGAATAGAGTTGTGTATCTTCTTGGTTCTTTCCCTTCTACGTGACTTTACCGAAAGAACCAAGAAGATGAATCCCTGCAGTCACGAAAGCTTAAAATAGAGTTGTGTAGTTTTAAGAAAACAAATGTACATGCATTTTTGTGGCATGTGGTTGAGTTATAAATTATTGTAACCGACAGTAACATGGAGTTGGTTCTCTGCCTTGCGGAATGTTGGCGACCTGCACAGAATTCTCAAATCCACAATTCTGCGGGACTTAAATAATTTATAGGAATAATAATAATTTACAGCCCTATGTCAATCCATTGCTGGAGGAAGACCTCTCCAAACAGTGTCAGTCATGTGGGTCGTTTGACCATATTTCATCACACTGCTCGGTGCATGTCAGGGATCACTTGCCGTTTAAAAATCCTGAAGATCGCACTCCTCCTCCTTCTTCCACATTGAGGACACGGTCTTCCAGACTCACTCTTACATTTCACCATTACTATCTTCAACCATCACACCGCAGGTCACAACATTTGTCTTTCTATTTAAAGCTTTCGTGACTGCAGGGATTCATATTCTTGGTTCTTTCGGTAAAGTCATGCAGAAGGGAAATAATAAAATAATACAAATAAAAACCACAGCAAGAAAATGTTCACACCTGATGATGGTTGCTTGTGTTGCAATCGAAACGTCGTGAGAATTGTATTATTTCATTCTGCGTGACTTTACCGAAAGAACCAAGAATATTTATCTTTCTATTTTAACTAATTCTACAAAAAAATTCTTAACCAAGTCAAGTGACCTGGCCACAAATGATAGTCCAACAAAGTGGCTTATCAAGTGGATATTTATTGCAGCCAAATACTCGAAACGTACGTTTCTGAATGTGCTTTTTTCCGCGTCTTTTCTCACTCTGCTCGACTTTGGAACTCCCTTCCATCGTCTTTTTTCCCAACTTTTCATAATACCTTGCCCAATTCCACCCTCAGTGTGACGGTTTATGGCTGGTTAATTGACATTTTGGGCCTTTGGGCCTTTGCTCAGCAACCGTGATAAAACATATGAATACGATTAAAGTATTTACGTTTATTGCGTTCCATCTTGGTCAAGGAAATATCAGCATAGGCAGGAACCAAGCATAGTCAGTGTGCGTCTCATTATCTTACCAGCTGTGTCGGGCACATCTCCAAGCGAGCTAAAAGCTCACCCCCTTCTGTGTCCCAGTAGCCGGCTGAACTAAAATACGTCATGTGTACGTGACACTGTGACCACCGTCCCATGCGTGTGCGTGTGTACCCGACCCAGGCAAGGCGTACATTGCGCCGGATAAGCCCTATCACCCGCTCGACGACCAGGTCACGCTGGAGCCAGAACTGGAGGAGGCCCTCTCAAGCGCCTCGGAGGCCGAGATCTGTGACATTGCAGGTTCGTCGCGTGAGCTCGGCCACCGTTGTCAAAAATGTAGTCGACTGTGTACAGTGAATAGAATACTTTTACTAAAATTTAGACTGGTGCTCACAGGCCTGTCCATGGCTCTCTTCCATCCATCCGTGGACCGCTTTAGCGCGCTGGAAACTAACGTGTGTGCTGCGCGTGCTGTGCGTGCTGCGTGCAGCCATCCTGGGGATGTACACGCTGATGAGTAACAAGCAGTACTATGAGGCCCTCGGGAGCAGCACCATCGTCAACAAGGAGGGCCTCAACAGTGAGTGAACAGCACACCCCTCCCCCACCACCGGTGTTATTAAAATAAACTACTAGTACTTGTATTCATGTTGCGCCTGCAACCCAGTGAAACGTCTCCAAGCGCAGTTTTCTTGTAAGCCTTGGGGATCCCCGAACGGCAGCTGTCTCTGTGCGGCACACGGTGACTCGGCACCAGCCTACAAGCTGGTTAGTCTGCCAGTAGGGGGGGGGGGTGGGGGCAACGGTTGCTAGGTGTTACTCCAATTGATTAATCTGTGGTAATATTTTAGAATTTGCCAATTTTGGAGTATGACGCCGCATGCGTTGAATTCCAAATACGATTGAAAACATTAATGTATGTATGTTGAAATTATTTCGCACCGTACGTAGCTAACCATGCTAATAGAAATTCTAAATGTATTAGCCCTTCTGTAAGCCTGTAGCGGAATGGGGGGGGGTTAGGGGAGGGGGTGGGTGGTGATAGCTCCTGTAAAGATAATTTAATACTAACTCAAAATTTGTCTCAAAGTGCGACTTTCATCATCATCATGATCACATTTTTTTCCCACCAGCATCGCAAAAGTGTTTTCTCAAATCGGTTGCTCACACACCTGCCCCGCGGCCACAGGTGTGGTTAAACCGGACGAGTACAAGTCTGTCCCGGACGAGCCCCCAAACCCCACCGACGTGGACACCACCCTCGAGAAGGTGAAGAGCAACGACTCCAGCGTGGACGAGATCAACCTCAACAATATCCAGGTGAGCAGCAGGGCACACGTCCTGAACTACTGAACTAAAAACGATTTGACATGCTTTACCGTGTAAGGCCCCCACTGAGATTCTGTATAGCTCTTTTTAAATCCTTTATATTAAGTTCACTTGCTTGCTTGCTTGCGCGCTTACGTCCGTGCAAATCTTTTGGTCGTTTTTTAACCCACTTCCCGTGAACCAATCGAGCTGACATTTTGCACACAGACTCGTTGTGCGTGACAAATTATTTTCGTGAAATTTTTTTTCCATAACTTTACACTTTTTAGGAATTATTTTTAAATATTTTATTACCAATTGCTTAATGGTGGCAGGTAATCATCTGACCCATAGGTGGCAGCCATCTCAAGCCAGAGGACCAGAGACCGATGCCACGCATATAAAGGATTTATAGTGAAAAACGTTGTTTTTACGGGTTAATTTTTTCAGAAGTGACCTGACCATCAAGAAATGATAGCTCAATAAAGTGGCTTATCACCGAGGGAATGTATAGCAGCCAAATACTCTAAATGCATTGTTGAGGGGAAAACCGGAGGACCCGGAGAAAAATACAGGCGACTACGGGGAGAGAGAATATGCAAACTCCAAATATACAGGCGTGAGGGTCGGGATCGAACCCATGATCTTCTGCGTAGCAGGCGACGTAGTTAACATCTCACCAAATAAACGTCCGTCGGAAAGCTCATCACGAGGCCAGCTTGACACGCCGTCTCTGTCTCTCTCCGCGAGCCGGTGACGTCCCACTGCTGGGCATGGGTCTCCCCCCCAATTGTTTCCCACTCTTCATGACCTCTTGCCACCTGCATCAAGTGCCCCTCCTCCAGATCTTCTGAGTTTATTCCACCATCCCATTTTCGGTTTATTACAACCATATTCTTAGGTTTTTTTTTTTCGGTAAAGTCACGTAGGTAAAACATCAAAATTAATAAAAATAAAATAAAGATCACGACGTTTCGGAGGCAACACAAGTCTCCGTCATCAGGTGGGACCGTCACAGCCAGATTAGCTGCATCAAGTGAGGCAATGATTCAAGATGTAATCCCTTAAAAGCGAGTTGAGGGGGGAGGAGAGGGGGGGGGGAGTTCATCAGAATGTGGTAGCCAATGAATGGAACGTATCGGGAGGGAGACTCGCCTCCTACCTACCTACCGCTCCCAACTCATCTCGCTCTACTCAGCACCACACAAACCTCTCAGCAATTGTAGTTTTCTGTCCCCGGTCAGTGTTCGCCCAGTGAGTGTTGACCTGTTCTCCCCTGCCGCCCTCATTGTCTGAGTTTCTCCTCTTCCCAGCCTTGAGTGATGTCGACTTCCTCCGGTTTTATTTCCTCCCCACTGAAACGCCTGCTGATTGTGATAAAAAAATATATAAAAACCACATTACACAGCGATGGGGGCGTGACACCGGCATCTCAACAGGTTCTGCCGCGTAAGCGTAAAGTGTTTCATCTTCTTGGTTCTTTCGGTAAAGTCACGTAGAAGGGAAATAATAAAATAATTTAAAAATACGTTATATTATTTTATTATTTCCCTTCTACGTGACTTTACCGAAAGAACCAAGAAGATGAATCCCTGCAGTCACGAAAGCTTTAAATCGAAATATATTTATATTATTTTATTATTTCCCTTCTACGTGACTTTACCGAAAGAACCAAGAATATGAATCCCTGCAGTCACGAAAGCTTTAAATCAAAATTTAAAATGAAAGCGCTCACCCGATCGTCACTCTGCCCCCCGCGTGTCTCCCTTTGCAGAATATCCCGGTGCACGTGCTGAAAGAGTACGCAGAGGCCCTGAAAGACAACACCCACGTCAAAAAGTTCAGCATCGTGGCCACAAAAAGCAATGACCCTGTGGCGTTCGTAAGTGCCCTCCACACTCATCGACCCATGAACGTTGCGTCGATGTTAATGCTCGTTCCCTGTTGACTCCTGTATTAAAGTACTTTGAAAAGATGCCATGCTGTTATGAAAAAAATATTTTATGTTTAGCACTGCGACAGTTAACTCGATTATACAATGGCAGCGTGCCTTGGTTGTGGATTAGCCTTGCTTATTAATTGCTCCTCACTCGTTGCGGTCATTGACTCGAAATAACTGCAAATGTCTGCAAGAAATCGTTAAAGCGTAATTTCAACAATTCACTTAAAACTCAAATTTGTATATTTTTTCCGTCCAATGTGCGATGATTTTCTGTGAGTAATCTGATGTATGCATTGTCGTGTAGAATGTGGGTTTTGTGCTTTGATTATTTTCAATTAATTTTAATTTTTAATTTAATTTTACTATTTTTTTATTGTAGTTTGTTGCTTTTATTATTTTTCTATTTATTATTTAAAATTTGTATTTTAAAAATTCTATGTACATGACTTTACCGAAAGAACCAAGAATATAATGATCCCATTCTAAGTCTTTGAAGCCCGTTCTACAAAGGTCATCAATAAATACATTGTATTGTCTAGTTTGCATATGTTTGAATTGTTCGTGTGTTGGTTTATCTGGATCTTTCTTTCCGCCCCCCCCCCCCCTTCATTAACCCAGATAGTCGAGAGTTGAGTATCTCAAATAACTCGTTTCCACTGCACAAACCAAGCCGTGCTGGGGCCATGTCGAGCCTGCCCAGTGTGGCTTGGTAGGCACCAGGATCTTTTTCCACTACGGAAGCAGAGCCGTGCCACTGACGTCACGCAATTAACAAGTCGAGACACGTTAGATGATTAAACTAAAAACTATGTGAACTAATTTTTTTTTATTTCACCAAGGTAAGGCCCGCTAAGCCCTATAGCTCTTTTTCAGAAGTGACCTGGTCACAAATGATAGCTCAATGAGAAGTGGCTTATCATGTGGACATTCACATCAGCCAAATACTCTAGATTCACGTTTGTAGATGTGGAGGGAAAAACCGGAGAACCCGGAAAAAAATCCACGTGACCACAGGGAGGACATGCAAACTCCCAAAAATCCAGGCGACAGGGTCGGGATCAAACCCACGACCTCCTGTATACCAGGCGAGGTAGTTAACATCTACGCCACCGTGGGACCCCGAAGGTTACGCTGTCCTCACAGTGCACCGACTGAAGTCACACGTAATGAGTGTCTCATTATCCCCACCCCTAGCCCGACCCAAATTTAAACGTCACGGGAGGACCATAGTACAGTAAAAGCTTGGATTGCGAGTAACTTGGTCTGCGAGTGTTTTGCAAGACGAGCAACATTTTAAAATAAATATTAATTTGATAAACGAGCGAGGTCTTGCAATATGAGTAGTGGGTGTATACGCTTCGTCTGCCGAGCGTCACGTGATCACAACTGATATACGAGTGCTTTGGATTACAAACACGTTTCCGGAACGAATTATGCTGGCAATCCAAGGTTTACTGTACAATGGTTTGGTTTCTGCGATCGGCACGGCAAATAGACAGTGGAAAACCATCTGTATCGTGGTGACGCAGCGCTGGCTTGGCTCGGATGCACCAGTGGAAAAAGGGTTTGATAGGGCAAGGCATGTAGCAGGATGGGCTGTGTGTGTGTGTGTGGCTACCTCAGGGCTGGCTGCGACTGCGCTCTTTCTGCTAGAAGTGAGCGAGTGACCCCTTCGCCCTTCTGCGTGCCAGGCCCTCGCCGAGGCGCTCGCAGTGAACCGCTCCCTCAAGAGCCTCAATCTGGAGTCCAACTTCATGACGGGCGCCGGCATCTTGGCCATCGTCGAGTCCCTCAAGAACAACGACAGCCTCACTGAGCTGAAGATCGACAACCAGGTGGGGAGGAGCGTTCGTTCGTGACTCCAGCCGTCACCTAAGCGAGTCCTCTTCCGGAAACCTTTTCGACTAAAATATGCTGTAATATTTTCCTCAATTTGACCCCATTTGCACATCACAAGTAAGAGAAAGGCCCAAAGGAGTGGATGTCACAGAGCTACCATTCAGGTGGCCTGGTCCACACAATAGAGGGCAGCACTTTCTTTCCCACCCACTCTGCCACGTAAGAGTAATGTTTGTAACGTGCCTTGCAAAGCAATCTGTTAATTATCCATAGCTGTAATATAGCCCAAATTAAGTGCGACGTTACATTTTATGTGATGGTTTTTACGTGCAATTCTGACCCCAAGAGCAACCACATATTTGAGAGTTTAGAGTTAATCTAAAAATTTCTTAATAATTATGGATTTTGGACTTTGTCAGGAGGTTCAGAGAGCCCTGGGTAGTGAGCTGGGTCTGCTGTGGTGCTGGGTTCGAATCTGGATTTTAGCCACTCATGATTAAATCCGTTCTTAAAGTGTACTGAGTCGATGGTCTCAGATTGGTGACCAATTAAGATAAACCCCATAATGTTAAATGTGGCATGTCAGTTCAGCTGAATTCCAGCTCTGCGTTTATTAATTCTCTTTCCTTGCCATGTGATGAATAATTTGTGCAGTTCATTTAAAAGTCGTCTCATGGATTTCCCCGGTTTCGCGCTAATGGATTTGGACAGTTTTGCGTATCCCCCAATTTTTTGGCATTTTTCTCCATTTTTCTTCAACCTGCTTTTCGTGGTATTGTAAAACTTGTCCTTTAAAAAAAAACTAATTTCCCTATACATGCGGTGCACAGTCCATTACAACGTTAGTATCAGTCACACTCCGGAAGAGACGAGAGGGTATGGAGCGCCATTACGTCTCACCTTTGTAGACTATGAAAAGGCATTTGATTTATTGGAAACTGATGGAGTCTTCCAAGCTCTCACAAAGACCGTTGTAAAAATAATAATAATATAGAAATTAAACAACTTATACAGATGGAATCGCTACACTGACATTCTGTGGACAAAGTAACAAAAATACAAATCAGATGGTCTGCTGGTTCCTAACGACCCTGTCGTGTGCAGGGCGCGATTGGTTACAGGAGACATTTAGGAGTTGTATTGGCAGAGGTGGGAAAATTACATGGTCTGTGTGCGTTCACCTGACGTGACCTTACATTTGGAGCCATATCAAACACCGTGTACGTGACAAAACCGCAGTACAGCAGTGACCCTGGGCAGTGTACGCTGTCATTGAGTGTTGTGAGTGAATCACACTGGCTCTGTTGGACTGAAGTGCATGGGGAGAATGTTACAAGATTTCGATTTGAAGCTTTCGTGACTGCAGGGATTCATCTTCTTGGTTCTTTCGGTAAAGTCACGTAGAAGGGAAGTAATAAATATAAAAATAAAACATAATAAGACAGCTGTCTTCCCGACAGACCTGTTCTTCACCTGAGGACGGCTGCTTGCATTGTGGCCGAAACGTCGTGAGAATTGTATTTTATTATGTTTCATTTTTATAATTGTATTATTTCCCTTCTACGTGACTTTACCGAAAGAACCAAGAAGAATGTTACAAGAGTTAATACGAGTGCTTGAGATCGGTGCGGCGTGTGTAGAGGCTTGGATATTATATTTAGCTTTCTGTATAATTTCTCCCGATTAATTTAGCGGGGCATCTATAAATGGATCGCCCTGTACGAGTTTCATTATAAAAAATTAAACCATAAAACGGTTTATGGTTCAAAGCGCTGATCTGCCATTGCCGAGATTCGTGGTTAAAATCCAGGCATTTGCCCTTGAATTCTCAGGAGTGGCGAATTGACCGTCTCACATTCAATTTGGGCCTGCACTTAATTTGCCTAAATTCCAGCTGTGAGAAAAACAAAAAAGTGCGGTTTGATCGTCGTGCAACGAACGTTGCCCTCTTACGCAGAGCAGCTGGGAAAGTGTTGACCTCTTGTGTGACTGGACCAGAGGTCACTTTCAGGGCTCGCAGAGGCAGCTCCTGCGATATCCATCACGAAGGGTTTCGCTGCTCCGCAATTGGAAGGGAAAGGAAAAAAAACTAAACAAAAACTCAGAGAAGGGCTGACGAGTTTCGTTCGGGCTACGTTGTTGACATTTTCAGCGGCAGCAGCTGGGCAACCAGGTGGAGATGCGGATCGCCGAGATGCTGGAGGGAAACCAGACCCTGCTGAAGTTTGGCTACCACTTCATGCAGCAGGGCCCACGCACGCGCGCCTCCATGGCCATCACCAAGAACAACGACCTGGGTGAGACGCCACGCTCCCATCGCAGAATTTACAGCCGGGTTGATTAGTCGACTCAATCGATCCAATGAGACATCTCCTTTACCAGTGGCAAAATATAGTAATAGGTTTTTACCCTTTCAACTGGTACAAAAACTGACACCTTTATACAAGGCATCATGTTTGCAATAACCACAACACAAGCAGTCGAAATGCAAACAAAAAGAAACAACTCTGATATATTTTGCCACTGGTAAAGGAGGTCTCATAGTGTAAATGCTTACCCCGAGCTCTCAATACTCTGATAGTGCACTGTCTTTGAGTTGTATGCCTTTTGGCGTCATCTGGTCCAACACCAATGGAGACTAGGCTCTAAGAAAAGCTGTCTCGGGTGTGGACCAATCAACTTCAAGGACAGTGCATATCATTATCATCATCAGAGTTGTTTCTTTTTGTTTGCATTTCGACTGCTTGTGTTGTGGTTATTGCAAACATGATGCCTTGTATAAAGGTGTCAGTTTTTGTACCAGTTGAAAGGGTAAAAACCTATTACTATTACTCAATCAATCCTCCCCATCCAGTCCCTTTGCGGTGGCGAGATGTTATCTCTCTCGCCTGGTATGCAGGAGGTCGTGGGTTCGGTCCCGACCCTGATGCCTGCTGTATATTTGGAGTTTGCGTGTTCCCGCCATGGTCGCCTGGATTTTTCTCCAGGTCCTCTGGTTTTTCCTCCACATGCAGAAATTCCTGCATGATAAGCCACTTGGTTGAGCTATCATTTGTGGCCAGGTCGCTTTTGAGCTTTACCTGGTAAATAAAATAGTTTCTAAATAGTTTATCTGGGTCTACAAGCATTCCACAGCAGCAGCAGTAGTCTCTCACTGTTGTCGGTCATCGTGGTATCCCATCTGTTGCTCTTTCTACGTCATTCCTCATCCTCCACTCCATCTTTTGTTCAGTTGTCCTCTGCCTCTGTTGATTTCAACTCACGTGTGCCATTTATTTTGCTAGATTACTATTTCATGGACATCACCATTCCTCTGACATGACCAGGCCATAGCAGTTTGCATTCCTCAAATGTTTCCTTTAGTGATCGTTCCATCTTTACTTCAAACATCCTCAACTCCGACGCATCCCTCTTCCCACCCATGTCATTCTGAACATGCTCCACTCCCGTGCTTCTTCGTGCACTTTTCAGCTTTGATGCCCACACTTCCACTCGCAGTTCTCAACCCCATGGCGGTCACCCCAGTCAAGTGGTCTTGAATCGGAGAGCAATTGGGGAGCTGGAGTGGGGGTGGGGGGCGGGGGCACCATACTGGAGCGGTTGAGAACCACCGCATTTCACCGTCTCTTCCACGAGGCGAGACGTCCCGAGTGTTAGCTCTCGGAGTGGTGGTGACGATTTCTCGCATGTTGTTATGTTTATTCAACTGGAAGCTCTTCTCTTCTCCTCTCGCCCCCGTGACAAACGCACACCCACTCCACGTTGTCCTGTTCAAGCCTCGAGCTTCGGAGCCAACACTTGGCTACGCAGAATGGCCTTTCAGATGAAGCGTTCGCCTGTGTATTTTCCTTTGTGAATGTGTACCGTATTAGGTGCGTCGCTCGCACGCACGCCAAGTCTGCAGCTGTAATATCGCCTACCTGGGTAAATGCATCGATTGCTGTTTATTCAAAGTGTGCGTAATTCATAGTGGTGCCCGTTTAGGTAGCCAATGCCAAGAGCTGTCCTTGGGATGGGCTGTGCAGTGAGAAGATTGCTATGTCCATAACAGTCCTCGGGTTAATGGCAATTATAATGACATCAGCATTGTGAGCATCGTGTTGCTGCATTGCGACCGTTGTCCGCTACGGTGTGGCAACAACGCTAACAGTGCACCGTTGGCGACGTCGTGGGCAGCAGAGGACAGCGTGACGACGTTCGTTGTTGCACTGCACTGCTGTGTTCCCACGTCTGTGCTTCCCGCCTTCACCGACCCGCACCGACATGCATGGCCACGAAGGACAGTCGGATAGCCCCCCGCAATCCGCAAGCGCCTTGGTTAGGCACTCGTCCAGCAGTGGATTTACAAAAGTGCAGCACGTGCACCTGTACTTGCTTTCTCAAACGACGATGATTGGATTGTGATTGCCGTTGCAGGTCTCACAATGACGGTTTTGTACCAGTTTAAACGGTAAAAACCTACTACTATATTTTGCCACTGGTAAAGGAGGTCTCATAGTGTAAATGCTTACCCCGAGCTCTCAATACTCTGATAGTGCGCTGTCTTTGAGTTGTAGGCCTTTTGGCGTCATCTGGTCCAACACCAATGGAGACTAGGCTCTAAGAATAGCTGTCTCGGGTGTGGACCAATCAACTTCAAGGACAGTGCATATCATTACCATTATCAGAGTTGTTTCTTTTTGTTTGCATTTTGACTGCTTGTGTTGCGGTTATTGCAAACATGATGCCGTGTCTTCTTGGTTCTTTCGGTAAAGTCACGTAGAAGGGAAGTAATAAAATAATAAAAATAAAACATAATATTTATTTTTATTATTTTATTACTTCCCTTCTACGTGACTTTACCGAAAGAACCAAGAAGATGAATCCCTGCAGTCACGAAAGCTTTAAATCGAAAATTATGATGCCTTGTATAAAGGTGTCAGTTTTGTACCAGTTGAAAGGGTAAAAACCTACTACTACAATGACGGTTGTCATTGACCCAGGGTCCGGTGTGCACCAATAAGTTTTGTCGTCGCTGTCGTTGTGTGGCGTGTTTGTGTGTCCGCAGTTCGCAGGAAGCGCATTGGGGTCCCCTCGTCGCCCACGGGCGTCTGAGCTGCGCGGTGGAGCCTTCCGTTTCCACCCAAGGCCAGACTGAGCCACGGAAATCTCGTTTTAAAATGTGTTTTTTTTTTGTAAACTCATCTCTGGTTCCGCTGCGTTGGTGACAGGGCTGCGGCCGATGCGTTTTATGCAGCCAGAGAACTAACTCGCACGACGGCGGCGGCTCTTCAATTCGAACGGTATCCCCCTCCCCCCTACTCCATGCCGGTACGCAAATTTACCTTGAAAGCAACAACTAATGTCACATGCACAGCGTTATATTCATTACCTGTGCACGCTACGGCGCACAGGTAATGAATATGGTGTAGCGAAGCAGCCGTTCTTCCGCGTAGTGTGTTTGCGCCGGCGTTTGCTTGCTAGCGGTGTGCGTTGAAAGCCAAGTGTGTTCACGTTGCGCTGTGTGTTTTAGCCACTGAGCTTGCGTGCGCAATTGAGATCGTCCTGGGGAGGAAGCGAATGTCGAATTTGCCGATACAGGTCGGTGCTCTGCTGGTTATGCTTATCGGGCACCTTGCAGCTGCCGTGCCCTGTAGAGGTCATTTAAGAGCGGCTGCCTATCCTACTGCGTAGGTAATCGCGGTTGTGCCGTACAGCCAGCGCAACCCGACGTGTCTTCGGTTTGCACCGCGTACCATCAGGCGTGACGGCCGACGTTTCGCCGCACACGCTGGGGGCTTTTCTGGGAACCTAACTGAATTCTGAAATTCAGTTCCCGTTCGATCTCCCAACGCGTGCAGCGTGGCGGCAGACGTCGTACCGAACGGTGCGTGCAGTGAAACCCGAAAAGCACATTGGGGAGCGGCTGCGCGTCTGTTGCTCGCACGGATGTCGCGGCGGCCGCACCTGGCGCGGCGCATCTCAGGTCGCCTTGCCACTTGGGCGGCCGTGCCCCCCCCCCCGCCAGGTGAAGGGTCTCGCTTGAGCCCCCCGAGGCTGAAATGAGGAAACGAAACATCCGCGAGCATCTCGACCGCATGGTCTGAGAAAGAGCTTAGTAGCTCCACGGATTCCTCCGGTTTAAATGAAGATTATGATTCTGAAAGATTCTGTATCGTATGGAGGCCAAGTTGGCCTTCACGTTCGGTGACACGAGCATTATGAATGGGACGTAGGCCACTGCGTAGGTGTTCGCCGTTGCGTTGTCAAGCCGTCCACCACGTGCTTCTAGGTCGTCATGCGTGTGGGGTGCGGCATGATGTCCGACGATTCGCTCCGAGTGTCGGGACCTGAAGAACTGAAGAAAGCTGCCCAGCTCCACAGGAGCGAAACTACGGCCCCGTCGTTTGGCAAACAACGCACGGTTCAACCCGAAAACACATCGGAGAGCCAGGAGGCGCGGACTCGCATCGCTGATGCCGTGGGCTGCAGGTATTCCCCGCACAAAATGTTCACGTTTTATTCTTCTAACGTGCCCAGCGCTGTGGTTTTGCGTGGCGATTATCTACGTTGTCCTCTCTCGATGACGACGCAAGCCTCGGCGCAGGATTTCTCTTCGGTTCGGAATTTACGACCCCCGCCAGAGCGGCCGCGGGAGTTAAGATCTGCGTCCTCCCCCATGCTGCCTCCGACCCAGCAGCGTCGACACAAAGCGTGGGAAGAAATGGCGAGCAACGGCAGCGGCCGCGTCGTTCTCGTCCCGTGGGCTTCGTGTCTTTGTTGCTGTTCATCAGTGGAACATGGTGCGCTAGCGTGCCGGGCGATGGGGCTGCTACCGCCCTTCCTCGCTTGTCCCTGGTGGAACCGGCGCTCGCTCACTCGCTCGGAGTCGCGATGTTGTTACCGACGTTGGTAGAGATGTACACGCGCCCAGCGCGTCTTCCTGCACAGTGCTCGCGTTTGCCAAATACAGTTCCTTTTAAAACAACGTCTTGTTTTTTTTTGTGTGTGTGTGCCGTTGTTTTGCGAGCACCGGCTGAAACTTGAGAGCGAGCGGTGTTTTCTTGAATTCGTGGAGCCAGGTTTTGTACCACACTTGGCGAGCGAAGGAGGAGGCATGATGCCCATCTTTACCCGCGCTGCCCCGCACAACAGGATTTCAGAAACATCTTTACAAATCTACTCCAGATGTGCTGAAGCGAGAGGAGGGGGATTGGCGTGGGAGCCCGGTCGACTCGTGCTGTTGTGCCGTGACTTGGAGGTCCCTGTAGAAGCCCTCCTCAGCTCTCTCGGGAGAGGGCTCGCGTTCCACTGGCATTGTTCATCAACAACAACAAAAAAGCACGTGTGCTTTTATTCGCGTTGTGGCAACCCAACAATGTATTCGGTGCCAGTGTTTTAAAGTTGTTAGTGGCTGTGAAATGTCACGTGCAAGCACCAGCACGAATGATTTTAATACAGGACTGTATGTGCCTTGGGTGTACAGTAGGGCACATAGTCTGTGTACCGTACAACCGGCGCCAGGTGGAGCGAGCGGCTCGCGATCGCAAGTTTGCTTGGTCCCATCCTGGTTGGGGTTTTGACTCGGTCTATCATCCCTTCGTGGGTCGATAAAATAGCGACCACAATGTGATCAAGTGGTTGTCCTGTGGGTAGACTTGGCCGTGCCATAATAGGAGGGTGAGAGCAGCTTCTGCCCGTCTGAGCAGTACAATCCATGCCTGCTGAGCGACTGCTGGGTTGTCGGGCTAATTTTGTCTGGCGTGCATCGTGGTGGGGTGGGCAGTGTGGTGGTGGTGCAGTGGAGTGGTTGGTGTATGATAGTGGGGTAGAGAGGGGTGGGCGGGTAGATTGGCAGAGTGTGGTTGGGGTGGGAACAGGTGGGATGGTTTGGTGTGGTGTGGTGGGGTGTGTGCTTGAATGGTGGGGTGATGTGATGTGTTGGGGAGGGGGTGGGGTGGAGTTGTGTGGTGTTGTGGTGGGTCTTGATGGGATTGTGGTGGTGGTCTTGGGAGAGGTTGGATTGGAGTGTGGAAGCGTCTCGCGTGATGTGGGGTGGTGGTTGGGGTGTGGTGTGCTTTGATGGCGTGGTGCTGGGGTTTGCGTGGTGCTGGGGTGTACTGGCGGGGTGGTGGTGTTGATGATGAGATGGATGGGACTCTGCGGCAGGGTGTCGTGGGGGTGCGGCGGGGTGCGAGCTCGCTGTGGTGGCACGTGACGGGCTTTGTAAGCCGATGCCGATTGCGCACCGCCTGAGGTTCGCACTGCAGCAGGAGCAGCAGCAGCAAGGAGAAGAAGTAAAACACCCCGCGTCATTATTCACCAATGATTGCGCGGCTCTAAAAATACGAGGTGGGGGGGGGGGAGAGAGAGGGGGGGGGGGGCTAGAAAGCCCCCCTCCCTCCCTCCCGCTCAGTAGCCTCACAAAATATGGTCATGAGTCGCCAATTGCGTTGCGTTTTTAATGCCCTCCATCAATTTCGCTCCTGTCCAAAGCGAAGGGAGGAGAAGCGTTGGATTTTTTTCTTCTTCTTCTCGCCTTTCTTGGGGGGGGAAGTGCGGTGGGTGGTGCGGGGTGTGGGTGTGGGGGGCAGGAGAGCGGTCTGCTCCGTCCGTGCGTTCGGCCTCGGCGCACGGGGAAAGCCACCCCAAGGGCCCCCTCGGGGTTGTCGAGCCAGGCTGGCAGCTGACGAGAAATCTGTCAGCCGAGTCGGTCGCTTTTAAAAGGCGCAGTGGGTGGCTGTGGTTTTTTTTTAAATCGTCTTACCCGACAACCAAGTGGTGCCGCTGGTGTGTCACACCCCCCCCCCCCACCTGGTGTGCCCCACCTGGTGTGCCCCACCCCCCCCCCCACACAACCTGGTGTCACCCCCCCCCCCCCCACCTGGTGTGCCCCCCCTCACAACCTGGTGTCACACCCCCCCCTCCTGGTGTGCCCCCCCCCCAACCTGGTGTGCCACACTACGTTGTTGCCCCCCCCCCCACGAAACGCGGCGCTACCAGGGGGGGGGCAGCTCTGTGCGTCCCCTGCGTTGGCCCCCCGCTTGTGTCGAGCTCCGGTGGCTCGGAGATGTTGACTCCCTCGCCCGGTGAGCGGGAGGTCGTGAGTTCGATCCCGACCCCGATGACGCCTGCTGCTGCTGTATATTTGGGGTTTGCGCATCGCTCGCTCGCTCTCTCTGGTCACGCGGATTTGTCTCCTGGTTCTCCGGTTTTTACCTCCACGTTTAGAAACAACGTGTGTTTAGAGCAGTCGTTTGCGGCGATATATGTCCACATTGATAAGCCACTTCAGTAGGGCTGTCATTTGTGATAGCCAGGTTGCTTCTGTAAAGGAGCTATATTAGGTCAGTGAGCCTTACCTGGTAAAATAAAAATATGTTTAGGTTTAACTCTTAAAGGGAACACGCTACTGTGCTTATCGAGTGTGCAGGCGGTGGAACTGCACTGGGACCTATGAATTCGGGGCGAGGCAGGACAGGGCCCATGAAAACCACGCTACATCACTGGCGCTTGACAGTGTTCCTCTATAGTGGGGGGCGCGTATTTTGCGTACTGGGCATCTGTGAAAATAAACTCCTTAAAAAAATGTTCTTTTTTAAACAACGGTTTTATTTTATAGTTGCACTAAAAAATAAATAACTCGATTGGACAACGGGAAGTGGACGACACCTTGATTACAAGATTTGACCACGACATACAGAGGAATGAAGTAGAATAACTTTTTTTCGCAACTTCGTTTAACTCGCGGTCGAGAAGTACGTTAATGATGCGGCGACTGCTCCCACATCAACGCTGACTTGAATTCATTGATGACTTGCGTAACTCGTTGGCACGGAGCAGGCGCGCATGAGACACGTGGCGCCTGCTTCTTGGGCGAGGCGATTGCAGAGTTTCTGGACCACGGCGTTTTTAACCTACACAAATACATATTTAATTAAACACTTTCCTGCGGAGGGAGCTGGTAGGAACGTTGGGTTGCTCAGTCAATGGCCAGGGTCAACGACGGCGTGGTGTATTCCGCAAATATGCCCGACTGTGAGGGCGGGCACAAGGGCGACCAGAACCTCCCCACCCAGCCCCACCCCTCCCACCCCCCACCCAGCCCCTCCCCACCCAGCCCCTCCCCACCCTCCCCACCCAGCCCCTCCCCACCCAGCCCCTCCCTGCACGACGGACACAATAATCCCCTGTGGGCTGGTGTAACCAGGAGGTTCCTACCAGTATAAGCCGTCCATAGAAAATGTCAATTGCTTTAAAAGAGCCAATTACTTGATTAATTAATGCCGGGCATGCATTGTCACCGGATCTGAGTACGTGTGCAAAATTTGGACAACAGGAAGTAGACTAAATTTTGATTACAACATTTGACCACGACAAACATCGGAGTCAGGTTAAGTGAAACCGTTGAAAAAAAAACCTCGGCACTGAAAATGAAGAGCACTCACGAGGAGGAGAAAGAGTAAATAAGGAATAGGACACATCCGAGCGCAATAATGAACTGGGGTTTGTGTAAAACAAAAAAATAAAACCTTTGTTTTTTTTGTTAGCAAATCTAAGGTGTGCAATTGCAGTACACCGATCTATCTGCCCACACTGGCGATGTTTATTTACATCCCTCATTGAATAAGAGGCTCTGGGTTATCCACGCTTCACTGCATTCGCTGTGCAGAAAACGATGCCTCCCGGGGGAAAATGCTCGTTAATCCTCACCACAGCGCCGTTGGTTAGCGCTCACCAATCCAAGCCGCTATTTTCATGCTCTTATATGGCACCAGCGCTAAAAACGAGAAAAAAATGCTGGCGGCTTTTTGCAAAGTAACGAAAAAAAATCCCAACAACAAATAAATAAAGATAATTTTCTAAAATGTTCTTTTAAGGACCCGTCCATTGCCTGCGGGCGATTCAGCGATAATTGATAGGGGGTAGTCCTAATTTTAGTGGGTTAGGAATCCAGGCCCGGGACCTTGCCTGGCTGATTTATTTATGGCCGGCGTGATTTACACTCCCTGTAACCACCCCGCGGTCCAAAAATAGCCGCTTCAGAGAGACACCATCAGCGGCTCGCTCACATCTCTCGTAAGCACGGGTCCTTTGTTCCACACGAAAACCAACTGTGCCTCCCTTGCATCCATCCCCCACCCACCCACCCATTCCATTCTCGCTTCGCTCTTCCAAGTTCCGCGCGATAACATCATCGCAGTGTTCCGCTGCGTGTGGGCCACTATCGGTGTGAATACAGTGCGGTTGAAAAAACGTTGGCGGCGTGGTGTTTTTATTTGCTTTAAATCCCGCGGAGCGCCGTAATGAATGGATTTGAATCGTCCTCGACTGCCTCGTCTTTTTTGATGTGCTCGCGGGTAAGGATCCGCCAATTGCACACTTCCCCCCGTCCTTCCTTGGCTCAAGACGCCGAGACAAAACGCCAGGTTTTTTCGGTAAAGTCACGTAGTTCCACCTGCAGACGGAAGCTTGTGTTGCCTCCGAAACGTCGTGATTTTTATTTTATTTTACTTTTATTAATTTTAATTTTTTACCTACGTGACTTTACCGAAAAAACCTAAGAATGTGAATCCTTGCAGTCACGAAAGCTTCAAATCTAGAGCCAGTATTTAACCGTCGTCCCTTCCACCGCCGATGACGGTGGCTCTGGGTGAATGCGGTGGGATGGTGATGGGTTGATGCAGCGCGTGGTGCGAACGGGCCCGTTCTGTCGGCGGTGTCGTTAGCTTGGGGGCCCCCTGCTGTGAGATGGAGGGAGATGGCTCCACCTGGTCCGATAGCCAACAGCCAACACCGGCCGCTCCAGCTGTCCGGAGGTTTCACTCCAGTTTTTCAACATATCTTCTTGGTTCTTTCGGTAAATTTTCTCGGATCTTTCGGTAAAGTCACGTAGAAGGAAAGTAATAAAATACTAAAAATAAAACATAATAAAATAATTCTCACGACTTTTCGGCCACAACGCAAGCAGCCGTCTTACTTCCCTTCTACGTGACTTTACCGAAAGAACCAAGAAGATGAATCCCTGCAGTCACGAAAGCTTTAAATCGAAATCTTTCGGTAAAGTCACGTATTTTATTATTTCCATTCTACGTGACTTTACCGAAAGAACCAAGAAGATGAATCCCTGCAGTCACGAAAGCTTTAAATCGAACATTTTCAACACAATTGATACGCCCGTAGTGCAACGTGACGGCAACCTTGAATCATTTTTGCTTTTAATACAAGCGAGTATTTAATAATGATTTGTTTGCTTACTTTGAAGACTTTGTCTGGAACTAGGAGCATAACGAGCGTGGGGGCAGTGGGTGCCTTGGTCACCCCCTGGTGGACAAAGCTACGAGTTGGGGCCCCTTTAACAACAATCGGGAGCTATGTGTACAACAACAGCGTCAAAGAACACAAAGTTATTTAAACGCCGTTTAATAAAATGTTTTTTTTTTATGAAAATGCATTTGTTTAGGGTCCACATATTAATTTAATCAGAGCGGTAATGTTTGGCTTCCGCAAATTTTCGCGAATGAAATATTGAGGCCCTCACCAGACCGATTGCTGCACCCCCTGAGTTGATGTTGTTGCTACGACGCCACTTTCTGGTGCTCAATATTTATAAATTGTAACTAGTTGCTAATCGAGAAACATAAAAAAATATATATATATAATTATCAAGGCTCCATGGTGAAGAGTCCATTCTCCAATTCTTAACACATTCCTGCGGAGGGAGCTGGTAGGAACGTTGGGTTGCTCGGTCAATGGCCAGGGTCAACGGCGGCGTGGTGTATTCCGAAAATATGCCCGACTGTGAGGGCGGGCACAAGCCGGCGTGAGTAGGTTAAACGTTGAGTTTTATAAGGGCACCACGGGGTGACCAGCCCCTCCCCCCTCCCCACCGAGCCCCTCCCCACCCAGCCCCACCCTCCCCTCCCCACCCAGACCCTCCCTCCCCACCCTCCCCTCTCCACCCAGCCCCACCCATCCCATTTTTGGATGCACGACGGACGGACACAATAATCCCCTGTGGGCTGGTGTAACCAGGAGGTTCCGACCAGTATTATCCACTGTATTTCTCGCCTTTCGATGTATGTGCCATGATGAAGAGCCATTGCCCAAAACGTCCTCTATTATATATCATTATTCCTTTGAAGGCCACAGTGTTATTGACTGTCGTTTTCAGTGTTTTGTAAATTGTCCCTTTGCACCACTGTGTATGTATGTTGAACTTCGTTCACACCGTACGTAACCAACCACGCTGATCGGAGGTGCTGGGGAAGGACAACACACTAAACACGAATAGCAGTTCTAAAGAAATTAATGTTCAATGTAGATGCAGCAGTGTATAGCTCCAGTGGCTTCCTAATATGGGAAGCGCGTCCCAGACAGACGCAGAGGCGCACAAGGAAGTGCGGATTGCAGCCACCGTCTTTGTTCGATGGCAAACCCAAAAAAAAACCCAATATTACCAATAACGCCAACGCGATATCACCAAACGATTTTTTTTATATACGTACGGGTTGTAAAAAAACAATGCATAGAGGTAGTTTTAGAAATATATGCCCTATTATCCAGATTATGGCCGTGGTTTCACGCACGAAGGCTGATTACACCTTCGCCATCCCAGTGCGGATTAAAACGTCAGCTCCTCCGAGCGAGTGCCTTCGACGCGGCGGTAATTCGCGAGCATTTCTTCCTCCCTTATCAAGAAAAGTGGACGATTTATTCCCTTGTGAATCGCGGTTCTAATTGGCTCGCGTACCAAGCCCAGGTTTAAAAAGCCACTTCATGATTACGCTATTGATCGCCCGCGTCTTTAAAGGGTCTAAAGCACAAATCCAAAATCACGGAAACTGACCCGGCACAAAAATGTCTTTAATCATATCCTTACTGTAGCATCGTCTCCATCCCCTAATTAAAACAACAAAAAAACCGCTACTCCCTTTGTTTTGGAGGCCTCTCCTCTTCCCCTCCCACCCCACTCCCTGCCACCACAGCTCTTCTTTTGGACCGTGAGACGCTCCCGTAAATTTGTATAATTGCCGCAGTGCCGGAGGGTTAGGTGAGACTGACTGATGTCCCCGAGTCTCTTGCCTGGTCGATGCCTCCCCAAGTCTTCTCCTTGGCGTCGCACACTGTACGATGATCCCCGCGCGCCCGGAGAAAAAAAACATTTCGGAGGAGGCAAATGCTTTCGGGAAATGACATCATTTTTTTGAAGTGTTCATGATTTAATTGTCAACGTAGATAAAATAAATAAATATGCATCGACAACTATGAATTGTCTCGACACGCCGGCTTTGCGCAGATAACATTACGATTCATTGCTGATTTTTTTTTCTTGTTGGGCTGCGTAATCCGCGTCGTGAAACCCCTCCGCTACTCGACACAGCCGATCGAGTTAATTGCCACGTGATGTGCAAGCGTTTCACGCGCCAATTATTGTCTCAGCTGAAGGGTAAATCGGAGAACATTTATCGCAACAAAATTCAGCAATTATCCATTTGAGAATTAATTAATCAGATTCTTCACGATGGTGTTATTGCGTTTGCATCACTGCCGACGCACGATCGTGAATTATAAGAGATATTTCCTGTACAATTTTACATTGATGAAAAAAATCTCAGAAATGTTATCGGACCTACAACGGGACGCTTACGAATTCGGGGGGGGGGGGGGTGCATCTGGGCTGCTCCACCCCCACGCGCGCCATCTGTACCCCACCCCCCACGTTGCCTCTCACACCCGCGGGTCCCCTCCCGCACCCCCACATACAACGCCCCCCTCCCTCCCTCCACCGTCGGCCCCCCCCCCATCATCCCACTGTCCACCCCCCAGCCCCACCGCTCCATCAGCAGCAAAGACAAAGATCCCCCATATAGCCTTGATAGGCTGTTGGGGCAAGTGCTGTTAGCGAGCACCTACGAAGGCCGGCACGGCACACGATCGTGCGGGTGGCCAGCACCACGCCCGGTCCCAGTCGTAACGTTTACGCACCGCACCAGCCACGCATTTTGAGGCTGAGTCGACCTAGCGGAGGCCCGCCACCGGTTCAGATAATCGTCACCGGCGTTGGCCGCGAGCGGGAATCTTAACTCGGGTGGCCGGGTTCATCGCCCCGCACGCTCCGCCAGCGGGAGCGAACGCGCACAGGAACGCGCATCACAGGAACGCGCACAGGAACGCGCATCACAGGAACGCGCACAGGAACGCGTGTCCCAAGGCGCCTGCCGTGCCACGGCTCAAGAACATCGACTCCCAACGGCACCTCCCGAGCGCACGAGCCACTCCACCCACCCGACCCGACCGCTCTCCGCTTACTCTCTCGCTTTTATTTTACATTATTGCATCACAGCAGCCGCGCGTTTTCGTTATCTTACGTAGACGCGTGACGGTCGCGGACACTGACACGAAACCGTATTCGAGTGTATAAAACGCTCGGGTTTTAACCGCGTCACCGCTCGGTTTACGATCATCGTCGCGGTTAAGTACTTGAGTTAGGCGCGCGCGCGTGTTGTTGTTGTTTTCCCGCTTGGAAATCCGTGAATTGAAGCATTTTTCCGTCTTTTCTCTTCTCCTGCCGCGCGCCCTGTTGACCTTGAGAGTCGCTTCGTTAGCTGCGCGTGTTCTGTGCACCGCGGGAGGGGTGTCGCAGGACTGTGTTTTTTTTTTTTACAAATCGTCTTATTGCGGCGGTCGAAATCGTAAGAGCCGATAGAAAAGTATAAAGGACAAAAAAAACGGGAATGACGAAAAAATTCTGACCCATTTCAAGTGTTCCTGAGATTAAAATAAAAACAAAAAATATACCAGCAACATACAAAAATAAAGTGCGTTGAACCGCCGAATTCGAAAACGCAGGCCTACACAAACATTACACCCTCCGTGACTTATTGCATGGTTACTTAATTAAATCGCGTGAAAATATGAAAGTGCAAATATGAATTGACGGTAAAACATTCACGACGTGCGTACAGTTTGGTTCTCACGACCGCACGATTTGCACAAAGCACCTGGATATTTTCGTACAACAGTCATCAAATCACGAGAATCGAGAGCTATAGCGCATACGGGAGGACAAGTCTGTTACACTCGACTTGTCCATCAACCCTTGACTAAATAACACAAAGCTAATGAGCATATTTCAAATCACATCGAGCAAGTAAAGTGCAAGCAAATCGGACAAGTCACATCTTGGGGGAATTTTTACATGAGCTCTGCGAACGTATCTGTTGTTTGCCATGATGTCCGACGTTTCCCTCTGCGTGGCCGGGAGCTTCTCCAGGAACTTGATTCCTGATTTGAATTCGGGAATTGTTCTTAGACGGGATGTCCAGATATTTGCTGAATAGGAATGGGCAATTCAGTTCCTGAAGAAGCTCCTAGCGCATGGAGCGGTAACGTCGGACATCATGGCACGGCCCAAAATCGTGTAGAGTGTGCCATGCACAACCGCGAAAAAAACCATACACAGTAATGTTTACGTTTGTAAAAGATTAATTTCTGGAATTTTGTGATGCCTGATGTAGCCACATGGTTAACTTATTTGGATTATTAAGTATTTTTAACAGATCATTATTGCTCGTTGAATGTTTCATGTTTAGATTTTATTTTATATCCGGAACCCGTGCTTTTGCATCAATTAGCAGCCAAGGTTTAATCTTACTGTTTGTTGAAAAAAAAAGAACGGCGAACAAAACCCACCGGTTTCGACGCGACAACCCTTTGTAAAATGTTTCAAGAAAAGTATTGAATTACCAATAATTTATCACAATCGTTCTTCGACGGTAGTTTAAAAAAAGAAAGAATCTGCTTATCAATTAGAAAAATCACACCGTGGATATTCCTATGGACAATCCATGTACTCCTAAAACATAATCCAGTTCGATTCCCAGTAGCACCACCGGTTGGCTGTTTTCAGTCGAATCTTTTGCTGAATTTAATTTAAAAACAGTCTTGAGAGAGCCCTACTTCTGGCACAATGCATCATGCACCGCAACGTGTTCAAGAGGTCATAACCACGGGCGTTCAAAACGGGTTGCGTGCGCGCGCACGGGCAAGATACCATTTCATGATTCCACACAGAGTATGGAAAAAGGACGAAACTGATTAAATGGGTGCACCAAATTGACAGCGGGCTAGATGATCCCTCTTTGGGGGTCTCTCCCTCCCTGCTCGAATAAGAACGACATTTGGCTTGAACAAGCCTCAGCGAGAAACCAACTCCTCCTCCCGACGGCAGCTTTCGATGGAGTAAGGAATGGAAGCGGACGGGAAACAGATTAAAAACAACAAGAACAAAGGAGAAGTGATGCGGGGGGGGGGGGGGGGAACAAAAAAGAACAGTGGCGTAATCGGACGTTGGTACGGAATCCTGAACTGCATAGATTTAATTATTTACAATCAAACGTGACCGATAATACTTGCCTTCGTATTGTTGGCGGAACCTTAAACGCCAGCACCCTACGATCCTCCTGGCAACAACGCGCATGGCAAGTACATTTCACCGGGGAGACGGCTTTCTATCGCGTCATCCCCAAGGGATTTTTCACAGCGTCGTTTCGGCTCTCGAGACGTCGAAAATGGTTCGCTCCCGTCTCCGCGCGAGCCCCTTTCACGGCGTTCCCGTGGCCGGGGTTTTGGCACTCCGCTGGGGCTGCAACACGTGGCTCACGGTCGGGCTGCCAAGGCCTGCCGGCTCGGTCATCAAAGGAGGAAATTCCGCATCCTCCTCGACCGGTGTACTCTGCGCGGCGGCCTCATCCTCTGCGGCCTGGCTAATTTGCGCTTCCCCGTCCATTCCGCGGCATCCCGCCTCGCCGGCCCACGCCGTTGCCGCGGCGTTTGCGACGCTTACGTTTTCCGTCAATTCATCGTCCGAGACCCAATCGTCCGGTTGCGTTCTGCTCGCGGACTCGCGCAGAGCCACGGACCCGTTGGCTTGAAACTGCTGCTCGGAGCCCGTTGCATTTCGCTGGCATGCAGTGCGAGAGGTGGTAGGGTTTGAACTTTTGCCAGGAGAAATTAAATGAACCTCCGCCTGCTGTACAATCAATATGCCCACGCCAAAAGGGCTCATGGCCCAAACCTCCCCGCACCGACACTCAGCACAGCTGCACTCGTGCTGCAGCTGCCCAACCTCCCTTGTCCTATGCTCACCCTGCTCCTCCCCGTTCCTCCCTCCGTGACCCCGCTCGTCCTCCTCCTCCTCCTCCTGCCCACTCCTCCCTCTCTCCACGTGATCGTCCCCACTCCTCCACCCGTCGTCCTGCTCCCCCGGGCTGACCGGCAAGTCCTCGCCGCGCTCCTCCGCGCTCCTCGCCGCTTCCTCGGCGGCGTTCTCGAGCGAGCAGCACCGCCTCTGGAAATTCTCGACGGAAATGTCGTCGCCGGCCGTCAGGTCGGTCTCCGTGCCGGACTCGCCGAAGCACGAGCACGCCGCCGGCGCCGCGGACGGCTCGCTCGCCGCGTCGGCGCCGTCGCCGGAGCTCGTCCACCTCCTCCTCCCGGGCACGCCGTCCGGCACCCCCTCGCCCTCCCCGAGGAAAACCTCGGCGGCTGCCGCGAGCGTGCCGCAACGCTCGCAGTAGCCTGGCACGCGGTCGCCGTCCTCCGCGGGGGAGTCGCTGGCGCCCAGGCTGCTGCAGCAGCTGGCGAGGGTGGGCGTCGTCGCGTCCGTGGTGCTGGGCGATGGCTCCAGCGAGCGCGTGGAGCCCTGGGCGCGCCCCGAGTAGGAGCCCGCCGACGTGGCGTCCTCGCTGTCGCTCGCCGTCCCGTCCGCTGACGTCGCTCCGGGGCTTTGGCCTGTTGGGAGTCGTCGGTGAGGGCGGCCATGGCCATGGCGTTTTGGGTGGGGGGGGGGGAACGCTATCCGCCGCGTAGCTTCTCGCCGCCGTGCTAACGTCCGACGTTTCGCTCGTCGTGCCGGGAGCCTCTTCGGGAACTGGATTCAGAAGAAGTTCCCGGCACGCGGAGCGAAGCGTCGGGCGTCGCGCCAAACAACAACGTGGCGCGACCCAAACTCACGTCGAATTGGTACAGGGTTACCGGGGGCCAAACGATCTCACAAATACCTTTAGCAGGTCACACATGAGCACGCAGTGTAGCGGCGAGATCCAATAATAGCCCAATAAAACGAGGGCTCAGATTTACCGCTAAAATTATGAGCACTGTGTTTGCCAAGTCAAACACATTCCCCTCGAGTAACCCGGCCAATGCGGCCGGGATGCGTGCAGTGATGGTTCCAGGTCTAGAAGTGTCTCGAGCTAGCCTCTAACACAAGGCGATGCACTGCCCTGCGAGAGTTCCAAGTGTCCGCTGTGGATGGTGAATCGACATCGCGAGCGCAGTCGTAGACGGTATTCGGAGAGACAAGCGCTACGATGATGAAAATAAACAAAATGACACCCCTCTCACTGACTGACGTCTGTCAATTCCTCCGTATAAAGCTCACGTGACAAAGCGTGGGTTGGGGTCAGAGACATATCTGGCAATTTTGGGTTTGTCCATGAGAATCAAGTCAAATCTCCTTCCGAATTTCTCCATTTGGACTTGCCCACGTCCATTTCCCATGTTTCTTTTCGATAAAAGGCCTTCACCTAGCAGTGGATTGATCATGGTGAATCTTGAAAATGAAGAAATAATAATAATAGGTTTTACCCTTTCTACTGTTAGGTTTTTTCGGTAAAGTCACAGCTAAAATTACTGCATCAAGTGATGCAGTAATTTTAGCTGTGACGGTCCCACCTGATGACGGAGACTTGTGTTGCCTCCGAAACGTCGTGATTTATTATTTTATTTTATTAGCATTATTACTTTTATTAACTTTTAATTTTATTTTTTTACCTACGTGACTTTACCGAAAAAACCTAACAGTATGAATCCTTGCAGTCACGAAAGCTTCAAATCTAGAATTTACCCTTTCTGGCGGTGGTGTTCAGATGTTCAAACACCAAACAGACACCTTTTGCAAGGCATCAAGTCTGCATTAATCACACGTACTTGTGGCAAAACATGCAAGCAAACATGTGACACCGAAGGTGACGTCTCATTCTGACCTCCACCGTGGCACGCCATGTGATGGTAGTTGCTCATCGTGTACGAAGAGGTGTCTGTGATCTGCTCTTCAAGGCTGGATGTCTGCAGTAGAAACAAAAATTTACATTGTAATGATTAGATTATTTCCCCCAGCAGATGAGGTAGGTTTTTTTCTTTTCTTTCGGGTGCGCGTGTTCCCACCTCTTCCAAGACATCTAACCAGCATGGAAGAGTAGACCAAATACCCTCGAGAGGGGCTCTACAGTTCCGCTTTATTGGAAACCATTCTGCCTTTACCTTTTATCCTTATTGTATTATTGCCGAACGATTAACTCATACTCACCATTGGAACCTCATTTGCCAGTAAAAAATATGATAATTGGTTTTTTACCCTTCTATCTGGCAACAAAACTGACACCTTTTTTTACAAGGAGTCATGTTTGCATAGACCACAATACCTGCAGTCATAATGCAAACAAAAAACGTAACTCTGATCATTTATGCACTGTTCTTGAAGTTGATTGGTCCACACCCGAGACAGCTTTCCTTAGAGCCTAGTCTCACATGGTGTTGGACCAGATGACGCCAAAAGGCACATACATTATCAGAGTTGTGTTTTTTGTTTGCATTATGACTGCAGGTATTGTGGTCTATGCAAACATGACTCCTTGTAAAAAAGGTGTAAGTTTTGTTGCCAGATAGAAGGGTAAAAAAACAATTAACATTACTCATACTCATTAAAACTGCTTCGGGGATGAAGAGGGCAGGCTGACAACATTTATTGCTGTACTGTATTATGTTCCAACGTCTATGCTTCCCACCATCACCAACAGTGGCGCTAACCACTGCCCCACCACTCCATCCCGTGTCTATATCCAAGGGGCACTTCATGAATTATTCACCCAGGACAATGTTTACGTTAGCGTGTCCGGGACCGGCGGAGCAAGTTTGGGATCACTGTGGCAGACGAGGCCCCACCGTGGCAGGTCCAGGAACGCCGTGGCAAGGCCGCGACTGAATTTCAATTTAAAGCTTTCGTGACTGCAGGGATTCATCTCCTTGGTTCTTTCGGTAAAGTCACGTAGAAGGTAAATAATAAAATAATAAAAATAAAACATAATAAAATTATTCTCACGACGTTTCGGCCACAACGCAAGCAGCCGTCCTCAGGTGAAGACCAGGTCTGTCGGGGAGACAGCGTCCCATTCAGACGCTGAGGACGGCTGCTTGCGTTGTGGCCGAAACGTCGTGAGAATTATTTTATTATGTTGAATTTTTATTATTTTATTATTTCCCTTCTACGTCACTTTACCGGGACACCGGCAGCTTCGGGTTGGTCACCTGCAGAAAGGCGTTGCCGAGCACAGCGGTCTCGTACGGCGGCGGCAGCTCCGTGGGGCACCAACCGTCCGGGCTCTCTCCCGACGGCCCCGTCGCGAGCCCCAGGGGGTACGACACCAGCCCCAGGCTGCCCGGCCTGCGGGGACGCCAGCGGTTAAAGCGGGAGGGGGGGGGGGGTGGAAGAGATGGGGGGGGGCATGGAAGGGTAGGGCAGGTACCCCCAACCCCACCACCACGCTTCAAAAATTTCACATCGTGGGTTGGTGCCACGATTTAATGGTTGGCACGGTGGACGTGCAATGCAGAGGGTAGATTCGATCTCCTGGCGTGGCGGTTTTGGCGATGGGAGAGTTTTCTGAAATGCCCCCCCTGCCTCCGGCCGAGGAAGCCACCGACGACCAATTACACTGGTCAACACACTTTTTCAGGCATAAGGTATTCCAACGGTTTTAATGTAATTTTGGGGTGCTGATTCCAAATTTGGCATCAGTTTTTGTCTATCACATCAGGTTTTTGAGATATAAAATATTTCAATAAAAACTGCAGAAGAAAAATATTAAATAAATGTGGATATCTACATAAAATGATATTATAAACACAGTGTCCTAAAAATACAGCACCATATTTTAACACTAAAGCAGTCACTGACTCGCAACAACTTGCAATCATAAGTGACAGAGTTAATTTCGGGTAAAATCAATGAAAATGGGGTATGCCGATAGCATAAAAATGATGTGATAGAGCAAATCTGAGATCAGATTTTGAATCAGCACCCTGAAATTAGTCTAAAACAGCTGCAAAAGTCCAGGCCAGAAAAAAACGTTTTTTTTTTGTTGACCAGTGTAGTCATCGACGACACAGCAGACATCATCTGTAGATAATGATTCACTGGATGACGGTGGTAACGCAGGCACAATGTTCAATAGTAAGCCTGAAACAGCAAGACTTTAAATGACTTTTGAATCCCTACGCCATCGTTCTTCACTAACTATCAGAAGGGGGGCCACTTTCGCCATTAAGACATCAGCGTGAGGGCCGCTGCACATTTGAAACCATTGGCGTTTGACAGCACGATGGGGGGCGTTGTTGTGTATTGTCAGGGGTCGCGCTTCAGGGGTCGCACTAAAAGCCACGTGGGGTTGCCAGTGGCCCGCGGGCCTTGCAATAAAGAAAACACCGCGCTACGCCATTATGGCAGAAACCACGCGTTCCACCTAACTGAAGGGAGCCATCCGCTCGAACCACGTCGCATTTTTCTGCGATCAGCGAAACGCGGCTTTGAAACATCAGGGGCAAGCGTGCGGCACTTTGGTTACCCCTGCCAAGTTGATGCAGCCCGAGGCCTGTCAATACGCGCTGGTTAAACACGGGAGGCGGTTATCGATGATCGATGGAACCAGGCTAATTAAACGCGAGTCTAACAACGGGGCGCGTTCGGGTAACGCGATACGCACTGCTGCTCGAGCGCCTTTCACATTTACTCGCGGCCATATGGCAATGGGTGAAGGCGCAGCCATGCAGATTCCTGCTCACGGCACTGCTGGCAGAAGGAGCCATCCCAGTAGAGAGAGCGCGAGCGAGCGAGCCTTCAAGAGCAAGTACCCGCACTTTACACCACCGCACGCGGACCTGCCTAAGCGCGATCGGCTAACTGTGGTGGGGCCAAACGTGCCGGCCGGCTTGGGCAGATGCACCGTCATTTTAACCCCCGCGACGGGAGATCGAACCGGCGACTCCCTGGGTTTCAAGTCGAGCATCGCCAATCGTTGCGCCTCCACGTGGCGTGATGTGTGACCGATCCCCTGGCGCACTCCACTTAGCCAACACGCATTGACCAGCGTGGTGAAGTATGCTCAGAAATTATCCATCGACTACTTCATAGATTATTCGATTGACAAAAAAAAGAATCCGTAAATTATCATTATCATTGTTAGATAGCCATGTAAGCCAGCTCCAGACAGCCCTGATGACTAAACACAAAATAAAAATCTTGGCGAGACAACCTGAAAAGCTCAATATCAGCAATCGGTTACCGAGTGGAACGCGGCTGTTTGTCGTGTTGCGTAACCTTTATGTAACCAATGCAGCAGGCGTGCGCGTGCACGCGTGCAAAGGCGCGTGACCCCGGCTTTGCCATCGCTACCGCCGGGCAGTAAAAAACACACTCATTCCACGCAGAGCGCGTGCTTTCGTGCCCACGCAAACAGAGATCAGGCGCGCACGGCTCGCTGCACTCACGTTCCCCGCGACGGCTCGCCCGTGGCTGGGTTCCCTGCGACGCAAGTGATCTTAACCCCGGGACGATGCCGCGACCGAGAGTAAAAGGCCGCATCCCTCGCGACGGGCGGCAGCCCTGCAGCCGCGTGGGTTGTCACCTCTTGCTCGCGTTCGAACGCGCTGCGAGTTTCTCCCGTGTGTTTAACGACGAGCCGTTTGCCTTTCGAGCACCCGCGCTGACACACTGGTGCAAATGGTACCAACGCCGGACTTGCAATGTTGATTTGAAGCTTTCGTGACTGCAGGAATCCATGCTCTTTGGTTCTTTCGGTAAAGTCAGGTAGACATAAAATCAATTTAGTCACGACGTTTCGGGCGCAACACAAGCGTCTGTCACCAGGTAGGAAAGCCCCACCTGATGACGGACGCTTGTGTTGCGCCCGAAACGTCGTGATTTAATTTATTTTATACCTACGTGACTTTACCGAAAGCACCAAAGAGTATGGACTTGCAATGCTTCGATTCAATATCCCGGTTTGGGCAGTTGAAGCAAAGGGACGAGTTTATTTCCTCCTCCCCTGCCCCACCTCGACCCACCGAGCGGTACAAATTGGTCCACCACGTTCGGTCGACCAGTCGTGCGTGCGTAGCAGGTCAAAGTGCGGGTAACTCCCAGTCTTCCAAAATGCCCGGTCCAGCAAGGGTCGAGCAATAAACCCTCCAGAAGGGGCTATCTGGAGCTCCCCCTGGCGGGAGGCGTTTCCGCCGGCAGTGGAGTGAGCGAGCACTTCCAGGGCTGCGCCTTTAGCCCGTGCAAAAAGCCAAGGGGTGGGCGCGACGCGGGTCAGTGTTAAACAAACCTTCAACAAATGTTAGCAGACACTGAGCAGGACGAGTAACGAAGCGCTCCGCTTTTGCCTATCGTGCGTTTCGCTGAACAAAGTGGCTGATCATTTTGACATGTATAGCATTTATAGCAGGCAAATAATCTAAACGGTCTAAACCCATGTCTAGACTATTTACGTTTCGTGCAATCCCCTCTTGACTACTGCAGATGGCCGATATATATGTCAACAAACGTAGCTTGTAAATTAAAAGATGTTGGGGGGGGGGGTGGGGGCTGAAGCGGAGGAGGGGGGCTGAACCCCATCCCTGCCACCGGCACTCCAAGACCGTCCGTGTGTGTGGCCGGAGGTCTGCACAGACGGTGGCGTAGCGTCGCGGCAAGCCGGCGGGGCGAGACGGAACATCGCGTAGGCAACGTCGGGAAACTAAAACGATGAAATTTCCCAGCTGATTAAACATCTCCCCCGCGATGCGTAATTAACACGAGATGCGTAATTAACACGCGACGCACACTTACAATGCTCACGGTAGAAAGAAGGAAAAAAAAATACCGCACACGACGGATGCAAACCAGTACCGTGAGAACCACGGATTAGTCTCTCGCTGAATATTCGCCGGGCCACTAGTACACTTGAGATAGAAACGCGACTCGTAGCCAGTGCCACAGTGAGACGTATACTGGATGTGGTGGGCCGAGTGGGTAAAATTACTTCTGGGCAGCTTTGGCTGATATTGAGCCGTGTGTTCGTGCACGTGATATCAGTGTGTGTGGGGAGGCGGGGGGGGGGGGCCTGCAGAGCTTGGCATGTGCTGTGTCTCGATCCCACTTATTCCGCCTTTTAGTTACGATTGATTTATTTTACATTTTTATAATTCACCCCCCGTCGCCCCCCCCCCCCCCCACGGTTTTACTCTCATCGCGCTATTGGTGTCTCGTCGCGACGCGAAGACTCCAATCGGAACGCTCGCAGAGCAGCGCGAGCCTTCGTGTTAGAGAACGGCCCGCGGAAACGGACACCATAGAGCTGATTCCGAGTTCCCTTCAAGTGACAGACTCCTTGTAAAAAAGGTGTCAGTTTTGTTGCCAGATAGAAGGGTAAAAAACCAATTATCATATTTTTTACTGGCAAATGAGGTTCCAATGGTGAGGAACGGTTTAGTTTAGTCCTCCTTTACCTGAGCGGCTCTGGCGGAGCGTGCTGTGCGTAGGCGGGGGGGTCGTACGGTGGCGGAGGCGCCGGCGCCACGAAGTCATCGTAGTCCTCGCCCGTGAAGTACGAGTCACGTGGGTTGGGGCAGTCATCGATGCCGTGCTCCAGCCGATGAGAGATGAACTGCGGAGCGAGACACGGGGGGGGGGTCAGGCGCGGCTGCGGCTTAGTCACCGTTCGTGGGTAGCACCTATGAAGGTCACGCGCGTTGCACCAAGGGGGTGGGTGGCTGGCACCGTACCCAGCCGCCTTTGTCTCCCCGGTGGAGATGTTTACACATCGCACCAGGTACTCATCTTAGGCCGAGTCGGCCGGCTCAGGAACGGTTCAGATAATCGTCACTGGGAGTTGGTAGCCGTGAGTAGGAATCGAACCATGACCGCCGGGTTCGTAGCGCAGCGCACCAACTGCCACACGACCGTGCAATAAAGAGACAAATACAAAGATACCCCGCGTCGCCTTCACAGACTGTTGGGGCAAGTGCTGTTCGCGAGCACCTATGAATGGCTCCATTGAGTTTTAGGGGGCAGGGGTGGGTGAGTTGCAAGCAACTCTCCTGGCTGCCTTTGTCTCCCTGGTGGTGATGTTTACACATCGTAACGGGTGCTCATTTCAGTTTGACTCGACTTAGGGGAGGCCCAGGACCTGTTTAGATATTCGTCACTGGTGTTCGCCGTGAACGGGAGTCGAACTCGGGTCACTGGGTTCGTAGCACAGCACGCTAAACACTACACTACCGCTCCCCACACGCAACATACACCGCACACACACACAGCACACACACACAGCACACACACATGCTCCCATGACATGCATCGTCGATGTTACAGCGTGCAAAGCCCACAACACAAACACATTGCTTGTTCCTTGTAGAGAGTTAGGGAAAAGGTGGGCTATCAACATTTAGTTTTATGCTTAAATTAGACATTCCCGCTGAAATGGAGACAATCCATAACGAAACGAGATGGCACGAACAATTCAACCTGCACGTGAGTTAGCGGCGTTTTTATTTTCGCGACGTGGATTTCGTGTGAATTTGTTGCAAGAGCGATCTGACATTTCGCGTAATCCCAACGATTAGAACATAATCTTAACGACCTTCGGCGATTTCCTTCAGCTTGAAAACGTCGCCTGCTGCTAATTGTGCGGAAAGGGCCGACGAGTCTGCGGCAGCATCCCAGTCAGACGCGAGGGACGTGCAAACCGGCTCGCCGTCGCGTCGAACGCAGCGTCGCGCTCCGTCCAAACCTCTTCGGTCGAACGCCATCGTGCCTCCTTCTAGACGTGTCCTGCCCAGCCCACTTAATTATTACGTCTGTCAATGGTGCTATTTGATGCGGGATTTTTTTTTTTATCACGTTGGAAATTTTAAATCCATTTCGTTCCACATTGCTCCGTTTGCAGCCCTGAGCCAGTGTTGGAAATTCCACATTCATGTGGTGGGGGAAAGTCAGGCGACAGGACAACCACTTGTGACTTCCCCACAAAGTAGTACTAATTTTAACTACCCCAGAGGGATGTATGTACGTACGTACGTTGAACTTCTTTCGCACCGTACGTATCCAACCGTGCTAATCGTAGGATGGGCGAGTGTGTGGGTGAGTGACTATGTGAGCGGGTGAGTGACTATGTGAGTCTATGTACGTACGTTGAACTTCTTTCGCACCGTACGTATCCAACCGTGCTAATCGTAGGATGGGCGAGTGTGTGGGTGAGTGACTATGTGAGCGGGTGAGTGACTATGTGAGTCTATGTACGTACGTTGAACTTCTTTCGCACCGTACGTATCCAACCGTGCTAATCGTAGGATGGGCGAGTGTGTGGGTGAGTGACTATGTGAGCGGGTGAGTGACTATGTGAGTCTATGTACGCACGTACGTAGAACTTCTTTCGCACCGTACGTATCCAACCGTGCTAATCGTAGGATGGGCGAGTGTGTGGGTGAGCGACTATGTGAGCGGGTGAGTGACTATGTGAGTCTATGTACGTACGTACGTTAAACTTCTTTCGCACCGTACGTAGCCAACCGTGTTCACGGGCCTGGTGCTCACCCACCGTGTGAAGGGCGTCGGAGGAGATGATCTGCATGCAGCGAGTTGACGTGGCGAGAACGCACACAGCCACGGAGACCACGCTCAGCGCACATACGGCGAACAGCAGGTCCTGCAGGCACAGACAGAGAATCCCCCGTGTGAGCTGAACAGACTCAAATTCTTAGGTTTTTTCGGTAAAGTCACGTAGGTAAAAAAATATAATTAATAAAAGTTAAAAATAAAATAAAAATCACGACGTTTCGGAGGCAACACAAGCATCCGTTTACAGGTGGAACCGTCACAGCACGATAGCTGTATCAAGTGATAGCAGGAATCAAGCGATAGCTGTATCAAGTGATACAGCTATCGTGCTGTGACGGTTCCACCTGAAGACGGAAGCTTGTGTTGCCTCCGAAACGTCGTAATTTTTATTTTATTTTAATTAATTAAATTTTTTACCTACGTGACTTTACCGAAAAAAACCTAAGAATATGAATCCTTGCAGTCACGAAAGCTTCAAATCTAGAACTGAACAGACTCCTTGGGGCGAGAGCTGTTCGCGAGTGGCACCTATGAAGGCCCGCACGGCACACGAGGGTGTGGGCGGCCAGCACCACGCACTGGCCGCCTTTGTCTCCCTAGTTGTGATGTTTACACTCATTTCAGGATGACTCGACTTAGGGGAGGCCCAGGACCTGTACAGATATTCGTCACCGGTGTTTGCCGTGAACGTGCCGTGAACGGGAATCGAACTCGGGTCTCTGGGTTCGTAGCACAGCACGCTAACCACTACACGACCGCTCCCCACACGCAACATACACCGCACACACACAGACGCACACACACACAGCACACACACAGCACACGGTAGTAACAACAACGATTCGCTGCAAAGTGGTGGTGACATCAACAACAACGCATGTGTCAGGCTAGGTGCACTTTGAGATCTTGTGAGGTTGCAGATGGCCCCATGGCTGGCAGGAGGTTACAGGACAGATCCCTGAAGTGTTATGGGTTAACTGACTGAAATGATTTGAATGCGTCACCTACGGCTCCACACTGTGCCAACTTCCACACACACACACTGCACACACACCCACACTGCACACACACACTGCACACACACACACTACACACACACTACACACACACTGCACACACACACACACTACATACACACACACACTGCACACACACACACTGCACACACACTGCACACACACACTGCACACACACACACTGCACACACACACACACTGCACACACACACAAACACTGCACACACACACTGCACACACTACATACACACACACACTGCACACACACACACTGCACACACACACACTGCACACACACTGCACACACACACACTGCACACACACAAACACTGCTGTGTACACACACACTACACACTGCACACACACACTGCACACACATTGCACACACACACACTGCACACACACACACTGCACACACACTGCACACACACACACACTGCACACACACACACTGCACACACACACACACACTGCACACACACACACACTGCACACACACACACTGCATACACACACACTGCACACACACACAAACACTGCTGTGTACACACAACAAAAGACAAATATCACCTCTACATGTCAAACAATTAGCCTTACTGTATGTGTCCTTCTCTTAAAAGCAAACGCCCCTGACCCGTCTCTCTTCCCATCTGTAACCCCATTCCTCTTTCCAACTTCCATACCCATCCATCGCACTCACTCACTCATCGTCAACCACTCATTGTCACTTTCATCATCATGATCATCACGCGCTGCTATTCTTCTCATCATCTTATCATCTCATCGCGCTGTTCCGCTGTACAAATGGTTAATTCTTTGGGCACCGCCTCCCTTAATGCGTTTTATAAATGAATCTAAGCATATCGCCTTTAACGGATTGTTAGGGCAAGCGCTGTTCGCGAGCACCTATGAAGGCCGGCACGGCACATGAGGGGGTGGGTGGCCAACACCATGCCCGGCTGCCTTTGTCTCTCCCGTGCTGATGTCTAAACACGGCACCAGGTACTCATTTGAGGCTGAGTCGACCACCCCCCCCCCTCTGTTGGGATAAGCGACTGTTGAGGAAAGTGCTGTTAGCGAACACCTATGAATGCCCAAAGCAGTACATGGGGGAGGGTGGGGGGGGCAACACTGCGCCCAGCCACCTTTGTCTCCCAATGCTGACGTTTACACACTGCACAGTGACACACAGGTACAAAGCACGTGCCTTACGCACACACACACACACGCGCCACACTTGGCACATGGATGCCTGCCTCTTTACGCAGGCAGGCAGGACCCACGCGCGTTCGCACGGCACGTGACGGCAGCGCTGCGAGAAAGAAGGCTTCTTGAGAATGGCCGACGTTAACACGCGACGGCTTCCTGCGTAATTTCACCGGGACCCCCCTGCGGTGTTTTTTTTCTCGAACCCAACCACAAACAACGACGCCGCGGGGACGACGCGGCAGTGCAGAGGGCGAGATGAGCCAAGGAGCAAAGCCCCCGTCGTCGCGACATGCGAATGGAGGCGTCGTGCGGGCATCGTCCCCTTTTGGGCCATGAGCCCCAGGGCAGATGTCTCACTCAGTCGGTGCCACCAGGCATGGCAGAACTTTTTTTTTACGTGGCCAATAAATATGAATAATGATAAAAGTCACGTATAATCCAGTAATCACCTCTCATTGGCCACATAAATATATCGGTAGGACTCAGGTTCTGCAATATTAGGTGGTACCAATGGTTGCTCTGGCACGTGGATTAAATGCTCAGAGGATTTGCAGGAAGAGCTGATACATTTTTGTTTCTCAAAATGACATTTTCACAGCTGTCACCGATCAGCCCTGACCAATTAACTGCCCACACCCAGAGGAAGTAATTGGGCACGGTGGGACTCTGTGTGTGTTTTTTTGATATTCACAAACACAACAAGTAATAACATTCTTAAGTCACGGGGAGGGGGGGGATTTAAGACTGTGGTGATTTCATGAACCTGCCGGGAGATGGAACCGTCAACCTCTGGTTTGCAAGTCCCAGTGTGCTTTCCGTCATTGGGCAGCGGAGTGGTAACAGCCGCGTCTCACAGCAAGAGGGACCTGGGCTCCATCCCCTGTATGGCGTTTGCATATTCTCTACCTGTTAGGTTTTTTCGGTAAAGTCACGTAGGTAAAAAAAAATTACTTAGCTGTGACGGTCCCACCTGATGACGGAGACTTGTGTTGCCTCCGAAACGTCGTGATTTATTAATTTATTTTATTTCCATTATTACTTTTATTAACTTTTAATTTAATTTGTGACTTTACGTGACTTTTCCGAAAAAAACCTAACAGTATGAATCTTTGCAGTCACGAAAACTTCAAATCTAGAAATATTCTCTACCTGTTTAGCGTGGGTTTCCTCCATTAGCTACAAAACAAACAGAAAAACCCCCATGCAATGTAACTGCTGTTGGCCAAACATCCTCGTGCAGAACCCTCCTGAAAAAAAGTCTGCAGACTCTGGTGCGTGGCTTTCCTGGACAAATAAGTCTCAAGTGACTCAGGGTCCAGGGCCATGTGTTGTCCTGCTCTCTGCCAATGGAATTATTCCAAGTCATATCAGGAAATGTGGTATAATTTAAGATTTACATTTGTATGCTTGTATTGACACATTTTTTTGAGCTGGATTAATTACTGGCCGACGGCTTTTTGAGTGTAGCTTTGCTGGGTAAATTAGTGATTATCATCATCATCATCGGCATTATTATTACAATGCACCACGGCAGCAGCATCGCTCTGCTGGTGCGCTGCTGCTGCTGCTGCTGGGAACATCTTGATGTAGGCAGCGCGTGGCTTTTTTGAGGATAGCGTTTTGCGCTACGCCCGGCCGTGTACCGCTGGCTTTCGCCCTGAAGAGAAGAAGCAGATCAATTTGCTAAAAATAATACCGAAGCCCCCGCCCCACCCTCCCCAGTGCAAAACAGTGAGAGGTGCTGGGTGGAGGCGAAGGGGATGAAGGGAGGGGGTGAGTGAGTGGAGAGGAAGGAGAGAGAAGGCAGGGAGGGAGTTCTCTGGAGGGATGGGCACAGTGAGGAGAGGAGGGCCCTGCGAAGCTAAAAGCTGCAGACTGTTCGCTCTCTCGCTGCGACAGCGAAAGCCGTCCGCTGTTTGCCGTCTGACGAAAGGGGCTTTGTTTGAATTGCGTGAACTCTGGCCTGGGGACGAGTGGGGAGCGCAGATGCCGGTTGGCCCCCTTTCTTACATTTTTTTCATGAAATCCCGCGTTTGTATTTGACATGTGTCCAAATTCTGAGCGCGGGATAGAGACGCACGCTCAGAATTGCGCCGAGAGGTCAGAAGCGAATGACGAACGGAGTTTCGATGCGTCGCCCTGTTACGAAAAAGGGCTTGGGCAGGAAAAGTTGCCGTAAGCGACGGTGGCCGGTGGTGGAGAAGAACCGAAGGAGTTGGGCAGCCGACGGATGGAATGCGATGGAATTGGCTCAGGTGCAGGTGCCGGGTAGATTGTTGCGTCGTTGGATGGTGAGAGATCTGCTGGGGAAGGCCTTCATCCGCAAGGGGATTGATCATGACTGGGGATGATCACGGCGATAGTGTAAAGGCCTTGTAAACCGCAGTCACCCCTGTCTCTCGCTGAAGGTGATTCGAGCAATTGAAATGCGCACGGGGCGGCGATGCATTCATGGGAAACAGCTGGCAAAAAAGCAGTTCCGCCTTTTTCTATGCATTTCACTGTGCAAATGCATAGAGCTTCTTGAATACAATTTAATGGATTATTTTGCCTTACACGGACGCATACGTATGCGTGTGCGTTTGCAAAGAGTAGAGCCTCTTCACACACAAAGACACACACACAGACACACACGCAAAGACACACACGCAAAGACACACACACAAGGACACACACGCAAAGACACACACGCTCACCTAACCTTCAGATGTCTTACACATGTTGCCTATTGTCCACTGCCCCTCCATTCCGATCTCCCCCACCCCTCACCCTCCGCTTGCCTTCGGAAAAAATACAAATATCCCCGGTGTAGCCTTTAGCCAATTGTCAGGTGCAAATGCCGTTAGCGAGCGCCTATGAATGGCGGCACAGCACACGAGGGTAGGGTGGTGAGGCCAGTGCCACGCGCCCCAGACCGCCTTTGTCTCCCCACCGCCGATGTTTACGCATCGCATCACGTTGTCATTTGCTTTTCTTTTTTAATAATTAAATGCGGTTTTCTTCAACGTATTTATCTTACAGGTGCGGCACTTGGAACAAAAAAATGTATCCTGACCCGTACTGCAAACACAGCGGACGGCAACAGCAGCAGCAGCAGCCGCCGCCGTTGCCGCAACAGCAGCAGCTGCTGTTGCTGCTGCTGCAACAGCAACAGCTGCTGTTGTTGTCGCAGCACGGGGATGTTGCTGCGGGGCGCGAAGCGGCGGTGGTGGCGGTGGTGGCGCCACGCGGGGGGCTCCTGGCTGCGTGTCAGTTCCCGTCGCCGGCGCTCGCGTTTCGCTTGCCTTGAGGGAGTGGCGCACGAATTGGCAGCCCTGCAGCGCCGGGTAGAGGCGGATGGAGTCGCCGGCGGCGTTGCTGCAGCCGTTGAGCTTCGGGTTCTCGCAGCACACGCACACGAGGGTCGGCTCCGAGCCGGCCTGCGCACAATCCACAAGCCGTTGACGGCCGCACGACGACAGTGCAGCATGGCGTGAGCGCAGATATCGCGCGCGCACGGACACACGCAGACACGCGCCCGAAAACAAACCTTAACGGACCGTTGGGGCAAGTGTTGTTAGCGAGCGCCTAAGAAGGCGGGCACGGCACACGAGGGGGTGGGCGGCCAGCACCACTGCCGGCCGACTTTGTCTCCCCAGTGGTGATGTTTACGCACCGCATCGGGTACTCAGTTGAGGTTGAGTCGACCCATGGACCGGTTCAGATGATTGTCACTGGGTGTTGGCGCGCTAACCACTACACTAACCGCTACACTACGCGCACACGCGCGTGCGGGCACCAGCGGCGTCGCTATCGATTGTGCAGGCGGTGCAAGTCCACCAGGGCCCACCGGCTGGACGGAGGGGCCTGGGCTCCGGGCTAAGCTGCTGCGTGGCAGAGCAACCCTCGACGCAGAAGCCATCAGGGTCAAAAGGTTATCGCAGCCGATAAGCACAGCACCTCACCAGCAGATCCCGCCGTTGATGCAGAGGTCAACACTGAACACTTCAAGGTCTCTTATTGCAATCTTATCATCATCACCACCACCACCACCACAACCACCACTTACCACCGCCATCTGGTTTGAGTGCTTTTCTTTGTTACGCTATTGACATAGCCTTCAGGAATTGCCCCTCGGTTTGGAACCATCGCTACGGTTAAAGTATTCCCCTCGGTGCACAGTTGACATGACATTCAAGGACTGCCGTTATGGTTTTCATCGCCGCCGGTGGCATCATCACCTTGTGCCCTTCACCCCTTTGTTACACAGTCGGGCACGATCCCTTCAAGGTCTGGCTCTGACGAGCTCGCCGTCGTAACGGCCCGGGCGTGGGGCGGTACGTAAACGATCGCCCAGCTCCGAGCACTGTCTCAACAAAACCCGCCATCTCTCACGAAATCTATCTAGCTCCGGCAAAACAAAAAAACAGTCGCTTCAATCGCTCCATCTCCGCGGTGGAAATCCATTCGGGCGCGTTCTCCCTACCTTGACCACCGGTCATCATCACTCACAGCGGCGTGTCCCTTTCTTAACGGTCAACATCGTGTCAGTCGCCTGTATTTGCCCTCTAATCCACGTGTCACTTTTCCTGCCTCGCTCTCGCGCGGTGTTAATTCCGGAGTGCGTGCCTCTCCCTGCTGCTTCGGGCACCTTTGCCTACTTTGTCGGTGTCTCTTGCCTGTGACGCCGTGCGTCACAGCAGGCGATGTGCGCCGATTTAACAACGCTCTGGGTTTCGGGTGCATCGGCACCTTGCGCTTTCATTACCAAGCCGCCCCTCTTTCCATCGTTTTCATTCCGGGGCCGCTCTCGACGACTGAACCGGTGCTTATCCCAGGGCCGCCGTCATCCAGCGTAATTGAAAGACACTGACATTTGCCGAGATTAACCGCGAGGACCGTGAACAATTTGGCCCGGTCGCCGATAGATTGGAGGGGGCGCGAGCGATCGGGAGGCCCCCGCGCGGCGAGCATGCTAACGAACGTGCCGCCGCATCCACCCTCCCCAATTAAAACGAAATGCTCTACGGCATTAATCGTTGTTTTGTTCGTCTTTCACTCGCAGCAGAGAGCCACGGCCATTCAGCTCGCCGCAAAGCAGAAAATCTCCCAAGGACGGAACGGCGGCATTTATCCGGCACGAAGAACGCGAGTTTTTTTTTCCCTCTCCCCTCCTCCTCCTCCTCCTCCAGTGCAATCCTCTCCAGCAATTCACGTGGGAGCACTTTTCCGCATCCGTGTCGGACGGCGCGTCTTAGGTGAGACACGACCGGCCGACAGACGGGCAATTTGCCGCTAAGAGGAGGGTATGCGGGCGAGCGTCTCTGCGGGGCGAGCGGAGCGTGACCGGCCTCGCGGCTTGGCCCCTCTGAAGGGACGGCGGAGGGGTGGCGGCGCATGTGCGCGACGCCTCACATCGCTTACGATCGCAGTCACTCGAGCGGCGGGTCGCACGTGATGGGATAAACCGTGGGTACTCCCAATCCGTTCCAATGTTATCTGGACAGTGTGGAAGAGTGGGCCATTCGAGGTGCGGAGCGGAGCATACAAGAAAATATGGCGGTGGCGGAGGGGGGGGGGCATGATGCAGTCAATATTTATGAACTTTAAGTAAATGTCAAACGTTAAGCAGAATTAGTAACGACGACGAGTTCTGTTTTTTTCACCCGTAGTGCCTTCGGCTCTGGTTTCCGAGGAATGGCTGGCGACTTCCAATCGCTTCGCCCTGCTCATTTCTGCATTTTGCCCAGCCGCCTCCCGACTACCGCCTGCGGCCTAGCATGTCTCTCACCGCCGCACGAACATCGCCAACCAGAGTAAGAACACCGCAGCGGACCGGCCGGGTTGTTTGTACGTGCTGACCGTTGCAATGTGCCGAGCCGGGGCCACAGCTACAACTGGAGACGGTGCTTAGATATTGTGCCAACATTTTATTGACTAGGCTCTTAAGACTTTGGAAAGGCGGGCTGAGCCCACCGGCAGATACAAGGTTGGGGGGAAGTGTGGGGGGGGGGGTTACACCCCCCTCAAACCACCCCCCCCCCCCCACTCTGCTCCCGACGGTGACCGTCACGGACGCACGTACCGTGTGGCAGTGGTGCAAGGAGGAGACGAGCTGAGCCTTCTGGCAGGACAGGATGGAGCCGGCGAGGTTCAGCATCACACACACCGCCGACAGCACCATGAAGAACTTTATCTGCCAGTTCCGGTGACAGCGGTACGGCGAACGCAAAGGAAATGCTGTTAATACCGCGCGGGTCTTAACATTTTCGTCCACATTCCTTATAAATGTTACATCACGAGCTGCTGGCTGCCCCCCCGAGATCGCGGGACCCTGCCGCACGGTGGAACGGTAAGCACGAGGGGCTTGTCTCGTCACGAGGTCGCCGATTTGATCTGCTAGCACCGGGGAGAATTTTTTTTTTTTTTTTACGGACAACACCCGTTGCCGTCTGGAGGCTGGCCGTTCCCCAAGGACCCTGCGAGTGTGAATTGCCCATTACCCACTGTAAGTCACCGCCGCGTAATTCAGGGGGCGGCCTCCGGTTTCTCGTGCGCTATGTTGCTGTGCTCCGTTATCCCCACTCGGCCGCGTGCTCCCCCCCCCCCAACACTTAGGGCCGAGAGCGCAAATATTGAGCCATTTTCTCGAGCGCTGTCGCACGAGATGTCCCGGTCAATACATTAATTGTGTTTAGAGTTGACGAACGCAGGTAATGCACTTGCACTACGCTCCCCTTGTGCGAAGATGATCCCCCCCACCCCCCCCCCCCGAAAATTGCACGCGCTGCTCGTGGCAGCGGGCAAAGCAATTGCTCCAACCGCGTCATCGTTGCTGGTGCGCCAGCGGTGATGCACCAGCTCTGGCACACACAGGCAGTGATGCATCACCGCCGCTGCTGCACGCGAGAGACAGAACTCCGGAGAGCCCCTTATATGGAGGGTATTTGGCCTCCTCTACGACAGCGCCCAGACGATTTCTACGGTGCGGGGAGCACCCACGCTTTACCCCACCACACGTGACCTGCCGACCTACGAACTGCGGCGAAACCCATTTACGGCACCACCATGCGGGGCAGCTGCGGCGGGTGGGGGGCGCGGAGTGGTGGTGACATTTTTTTTTACTGCCGCGCCGGGAGATCGAATCTAACCGGCGACGTCTGGAACGCGAGGTCCGTTCGCCGTTTTAACCGTTGCACCGCGTCAAGAGGCCACCGGAGCGACGCGCTTTTAAATCTCGATTGAAAACTCATTTCTTGAGAAGTGAGTTTTGCGTTTTGTTTGTGGTCCCCTTCCCGCACCTCCGATTAGCGCGGCTGGCCACGTACGGCGTTGCGAAAGAAGTTTAACGTACGCGCGTACATACAGTATACGAGCTGGAGGTGAGGGCTTGTGATTAAATATTAAAATGTTGCATCTTTCTGCGATGCACTCCCGGGAATGATGGGTGACGAGGGGAATCGACGGTGGCGATGGTAGCAGCGACGGCGGGCGTGGTGAACGCTCTGGTAAATAATGAACGAGCTGGGTAACTACACTCGGACATTAAAGTAGATTTGCGATGATAAATCTTTGGTTAATAGCTGCTGTCCAGCGTTATCTCTCAGATTTCTTTTCGTCGTTTAAATTGTCCTCTCTAGATAAAATAACAGGCTGCAGCATTTTCATTCAATATATGTCAGCTCGGTCACAGGTTTCAATAGGAATAATTACTTGGCAGCGTTAAATGTTAAAACTGACTTGTTGTGTCGGTTGAAGCGTAAAATCCATCGCCATTTAATAAACGAAGGAAAATAATCCATCGACGGTTAATTTCAGAACAACAAAAAAACACCTCGTATTATTCCTGCTGCGGTAAAGACGAACTTATTCTATTTCTTGGGTCGCTGGTAGATTAGAATAGGTGGCACATGGCTCGTAGCTACAGCCACAGTGCGGTATACTGGATGTGGTGTGCTGGGTGCGGAGAGACCCAGATGGAATTAAGCCCATATGGTATTCGTGCGTCTCTGCAATTGCTCGCTCACGCCACTGCCGGCCGATGGGGCCTCAAGCTAGAGAGAAACCTACAAGGTGATTGGTCTACTCTTCCACATTGACGAGACGCGTCGGAAGAGGCGAGCGTACGCACCGCACGCAAGCTGCCGATCAATCCACCGCTTCTCTATTCATTTACACCGCTGGGTGGACAGAGTCAGTGGACGAGCGGATTTAAGAAACTGCCACGCCAGGAGGTGAAATCGATCCGGCGACATCTGGATTATAATTCCAGCGCGCTAACCCTCGCTCCCCCCGTGGCGGCTCGGTGCAATGGTAATGATGGTGCTTTGTGTCCAGGGTCTCTTTAGCAAATCGGGCGATGCCTCGCGTCGCTCGTGTGCCCGGCGGCACAGTGGCATCTCGCCACGTGCCAGTGATACACACCACGATCGCTATTGGTCGCTTCCATGACACCACTCCAATCAGCCCACACAGCAAAGCCTGAGAAAAACGACACGAGCGGACAACACAGAACGCACGAGTGCACGCACGCACGCACGCACGCACACACACACAGGCGTACACACATATGCACGCACGCGCACACATGTGCACGCACACATACACGCACACACAGGCGTACACACACGTACAAGCACGCACACACGCACACACATGAGCACACACACACACACACATGCACGCACACACACAAGCGAGTTAGTCAGTGAACATTGATATGCAAAGACGCCAAGATTGATGGAATTTCATGATGGACTCTGACATTGGCACGATCAAACCGAACATGTATTGATTTTTCTTCTACACAAGTCTAGTATTCTGGCCTTTTGTTTTTTTTTGTTCCCACGAGGCTTTTTAACATGTTTCTCTCCCGTTCGTAATGGGGCTGCTAACCCCAGCGCTGGGTTGTGTGGGTCAGCGTGAAATACGTAATCAGCGCGGGCACGACCAAGTGCGGTGGGCCGACGCGAAAATTTAACAAATTCACTGCCCATGTCGCCAACGAAGGGCCTGCACACACCCCCCGCCCCCCTCCCCCCCCCGAGCTCACGTTCACCGCGGAGATGGAGCGATGAATGTTTGGCCCGTGTGTAAATGCCGGGTGGATTGGAGACCGTTGGTGACGGCTTTGGGGAAGGCTGTCATCCGACCACGGATTGATCGTGGCCGATTGTGGTGATGTTGATGATCATGATGACGACGCCGACTGCTCGACGCCCAGAAACAGCCGAGACCTCGTTGTGGGCTGTAAACAATCCTCCGTTGTTATCTGTAACAAACACCTTGCCGAGAAATGCATTGTCAGCAGGTAATAGCCGTGGCAGGGGACCTCTTAGGGCAAACTGTGGGGAGAATATATGACCGGGCCCTGCATTGTGTGGCCTCGAGGGGGTCTAAAATTACGGTCCATGAATCTGAATGACCGCACGCGTGAACTGACTGAAAGGTCGTTGCCAGGCAATTCGGTAAAGGAACAAGGGCCCTCCACTTGAGGTGGGTATGTGGCCGACTCTTCCACCTAAGCCAGACGTCTACGGAACACGTGGGAGTTACCCGCACTTTAACAATTTATAGAATAAAAAAAAACGCACGCGGACCTGGTAATTGACTGGCTGCGGTGCAAACCATTCCGGGAAGGTAACAACCCAAAAGAAATCTACATCTGTGCGCTGCGTAATTAAAATAATTACGGTATGAAACAAATTGCAAAGGTGGTGAGAGCATCACATATCGAAATGTGTGTTGGTTTAAAACACCAATCCACCACACCATTATGGAGCGTGGAGCCAAGTTGTTGTTGTTTATGTTGGTGCGTATCTGTGCCCGCTATCTGTGCATCCCTGGCCTGGTCCCGTGTGTTAAAAATGTAACGATCCGTGTTTAAATATTAACGAGTTGTGCTCGTTGAATTCGCATTATTGATGTGTTCATAAGCAAAGTTAATGGACGCTATATACAGGAGTTTCGGGTAATTAAGCAAACTATTTTTTTTTTGTTCGAGACGCCCAGCAATCTCCGTGGCTATTTACGTCCAAATGTGGGAAACATTGATGCTGGGGCTTCATCACTCGTGCCCGATGGTATCAATCGGTGAGCGCTCACGACACAGAGGAGAAAACGAGCAGAAATGTATGAAAACTGAAGCCACGTGCACGCTTCAGACAGCAGCTCAATCAATCAGCCGATGTCGGTAATTACCATTATGCAGATTATCTGTGATCGATGGTGGAAGAGATTGGAAAAATCATGCTTACAGTGACGGCCACTGTATGTACGTCCACTCGTGTCACAAAGACAAAGCTCCCCCTCCGTATAGCCTTAACTGACTGTAGGGGCAAGTGCTGTTAGCGAGCACCTATGAAGGCCGGAACGGTACACGAGGGGGTGGGTGGCCAGCACCACGCCCGACGGCCTTTTTTCCCCCAAGTGACGATGTTTACACACCGCACCATGTCCTCATTTGAGGCTGAGTCGACCTAAGGGAGGCCCGGGTTAGCGTAGCGCTAACCGCTTCACCACCGCTCCCCACCACAGACACACACACGTGTACACAACAATCATTACGCGAGCCACGGGCGCGTAGGTTGTGCCCCCTAGTCCACATGATGATGATCAGAAATCAATGGGGCTATGTTGATGGTGCCTGATTTCGTTTTGATTGATTTCAAAGATCGTGAAAGCCAAGCAGGTGTGAACTTGGCCAGTTTTCTAGCACGGGAGCACCGCCAGGGAGTGCCACTGTAGTGGCCTCGTGCCGCGGGGTGTTCGCTAGATGGCAGTAGAGAAATGGATTCCTGAATCCATCTGTGTGCAGACATTTGAACGTTACCCCCCCCCCCGACTCCACGCCCCCTATGCAGAGTGGGTTTTCTCCGGGTTCTGAAATTTCCGCGCACGTGAAACCAAACTCCCATTGCTAGGAGCTGACCAAGAATCCCAATACCCCTCAGCGCATACAGAGCAGTGATGTGCGGTGAGGTCAATGGCTGGGGAGGCACTGGCTGGTGTCAGAGCCAGATTCACACACTGAGGGGGGCGTGGCCTCACGGAGGGGGCGTGTCTTCACATAGGGGGGCGTGTTAGACACGTCCCCCTCGGTGAGGCAGATGTGATAGCTGCCTCCCCTGGTGCTTTTGCATTGCAGATTCATGACGAGACCAGCGAGCCTAAATATTTCTATACACACATATGTGAAATAAATTACCTGGAGTATGGAAGGCGAGGACATGAAATGAAGGGGTCTACAAACATTACATTGGTGACATATTGAGATAGTAACAGGCACGCGCTTATTGCCCGCGCTCCATCCAGTTACTGAGGGGTTGCGCAATCAGAGGGGAGGCTGAGCTCGTCGCTGCCTCACCTCTCGTCTCTTCCTGTATTTGCAGCGGAGCTGCGCAAATTTGGCGATTTTGACTATAAAAATGATTGGAATCGTACAGAAATGACATTTATAACACGAATTAGCGGGAAAATGTTAATATGTATTTATTCGATTTTCTTTTTACTTTTCGTAACAGCTATTTTCATTGGAGTATGGCAGGGGAGGCTTTGCTTCCCCTGCCTCCCCTGACCGCACGTCCCTGATTACCGACTGAACGAGACTTTCCTGGGTCAATGACACACAACGTGGCCACACTAACGAGAGCACGTGAAACTACCCAAACCACGCAAGATATATATATCTGCACTCGAATGGAATTTACGGCATCGCAATCGCCCGAAGAATCCAGGACTCTTTTTCTCACCGGATATGTCAAAGTCGCTGGTAGATTGCTGCACGAGGTGGCACGTGAGCCTAGGGTAGCCAACACATTCCTGCGGAGGGAGCTGGTAGGAACGTTGGGTTGCTCGGTCAATGGCCAGGGTCAACGGCGGCGTGGTGTATTCCGCAAATATAGCCGACTGTGAGGGCGGGCACAAGCCGGCGTGAGTAGGTTAAACGTTGAGTTTAATAAGGGCACCACGGGGTGACCAGCCCCTCCCCACCCAGCCCCACCCTCCCCACCCAGCCCCACCCCTCCCAGCCCCACCCTCCCCACCCAGCCCCTCCCCATCCTCCCCACCCAGCCCCTCCCCACCCTCCTATTCACACCCAGCCCCTCCCCACCCAGCCCCTCCCCACCCAGCCCCTTCCCACCCAGCCCCACCCTCTCCACCCAGCCCCTCCCACCCAGCCCCTCCCCACCCTCTCCCACCCAGCCCCTCCCCACCCTCCCCTCCACACCCAACCCCTCCCTCCCCACCCAGCCCCTCCCTGCACGACGGACACAATAATCCCCTGTGGGTTGGTGTAACCAGGAGGTTCCTACCAGTATCACAGCACGCATGCTGGACCCGCTGCGCTGCACTATGAGCCGCGCTTCAAAGCGAAACGCGCGCGTCCAGAGACGCTCACCCCTACTGAGTGAGGCTATCAACACTCGCCTTTGTCGGTGATTGAGTGAATGAGACCCCCCCCCCCGAACCCCCACACAGTGGGATGACTCGATGAGATACAAAGAGAGGGGATAGAGCGCGCAAGGAGAGACACACACACACAGAGGTACGAGTGAGAGACGGGAGACAGGCAGGACAAAGAGAGACAAGGGAGAGTTGTGCAGGCGAAAGATAGATAAAGACAACGATCCCCCGTATAGCCTTAAGAGACTGTTGGGGCAAGTGCTGTGAGCGAGTAGCACTTATGCGGAGATGGACGCAGACGCCGCTCGACTCACGCGGAGTGCAGCACAGAACGGGCACGAGTGGCGGACCTATGCAGTGATGGACAAAGACAAAGACCCCCCGGGCAAGTGCTGTTAGCGAGCACCTATGAAGGCCAGAACGGCACACGAGGGGGTGGGTGGCCAGCACCACGCCCGGCCGCCTTTGTCTCCCCAGTGGCGATGTTTACACATCGTTCTTAAACATCGCACCGGGTACTCATGTGAGGCTGAGTCGACCTAGGGTAAGCCCAGGACCGGTTCAGATAAATCGTCACCGATTTTGTCCGTGAGCGGGAATCGAACTCGTGTCGCCAGGTTCGTAGCGCAGCGTAGCGCTAACCGCTACACCACCGCTCCCCACATAGACAGACAGATACACACGCAGAGACACACGCAGAGAAAGACAGACATACACACAGAGACGCCGCTCTACTCACGCAGAGACACAGACAGAGACGCCGCTCTACTCACGCAGAGTCCAGCCCAGAAAGGGCACGAGTGGCGGACCCCGGCGGACGCGGCGAGCGTGAGCGCGGCGAGGCTGGTGGCGACGTTCAGGGCGCCCAGCCCGATCTGCGCGGCTCCCAGCAGCAGGTGCAGACGCGCCCCGCCAGGAGGTCGGGCGAGGCGAGCCTCGCTGGCCGCACCGCCGCTCAAAGGCGGCATGGGTAGGTGCGGGCTGGGTGCCACAGTCCCACTCCGCTTGCTCCTCCACCCACCATCGTCAGACCACGGGGAAATGTTGCTGCTGCTGCTGCTGTTGCTCTTCTGGATTTGGTGAAAGAGGAGAGCGGCGGTGGTGGTGGTGGTGGTGAAGGAGCGAACGCGGAAGGGCAGCACGAGGAGCAGCACGAGGAGCAGCAGCAGGAGCAGCAGGAGAGGGAAGCACCGACTCCTCGCTGCATTGTGGGGATGCGATCACAAGCAGCTTCAGCAGCAGCGCAGCGCGCACTGCACTGTCGCCGCGCGACAGCCCCATCCATCACTGCACAGCTCCCTCCTCCTCCTCCAACTCCTCCTCCTCCTCTTCACATCCTCAGGGACACGGTGGCCGACACACGGACACGCAAAGACCAGCGGGCGGCCGTCGTGCGAGACTAATTGGCCGTGGCGTCACGGCGGCCGCCGTGCCAGGCTAGGTTCACACTTGCCGAGGTGCGCGCGAAGTGCGCGGCCAAAGCTCGCGGTTTCACGGGGACAGAGCCCGGTGGGTGTTGGTTCAGCGGGTTTTAAGTGAGACATCAGCATCCAAGCGAAGACAAACACGGAGACAACGCAGACACACAGAGAGGGACACATGGAAACCACTCAGACAAAGACCCACCCCCCCCTGTAGCCTCACCAGACTGTTGGGCCAAGTGCTGTTTTCGAGCACCTATGAAGGACGACACGGAAGGATTTTGTTGTGGCTAGCGCCACGTCCGACCGCCTTTGTCTCCCCAGTGGCGAATTTTACACACCGCGCCAGGTACTCATTTGAGGCTGAGTCGACCGGGACGTGGCCCAGGATCTGTTCTGATAATAATCGTCACCGGTGTTGGCCGTGAGCAGGAATCGAACTCGGATCGCCGGGTTTGTATGCATAGCGCAGCGCGTACACAAATGTCCACTGACACACACACAAATACACCGATACAGTATACACACAAACACACAGATGCACACACAGACACACAGACAAAGACGTAGAACGCCCGTACACTCACAACTAAAGGATAAAGACAAAGATCCCCCCGATAGGCTTTACAGGCTGTTATGGCAAGTGCCGTAATAGCGAGCGCATATGACAAAGACAAAGGTCCCACGTATAGCCTCAACAGACTGTTGGGGCAAGTGCTGTTAGCGAGCACCTGTTAAGGCCGGCACAGCACACGAGCATGGATGGGTGGCCGGCACCACGCCCGGCCGCCTTTGTCTCCCTAGCGGCGATGTTTAAACACCACACCGGGTTACTCATTTGAGGCTGAGTCGACCTAGGGGAGGCCCAGGACCGGTTCAGACAATCGTCACCGGCGTTTGGCCGTGAGCGGGAATCGAACTCAGGTGGCCGGGTCTCCTGCTCACACAGCAACACGGAGGGAGTCGTCACTCGGCGTGCGTGTTGTGTGTGTACGTACGGGGGAGCGGTGGCGCAGTGGTTAACGCACCGCGCTACGAACCCCCATTACGGCCAACATAGGGGATGGATATCTGAACCGGTCCCGGGCCTCCCATAGGTTGACTCAGCCTTAAATTAGTACTGTGCGCGGTGTGTAAACGTGAGCACTGGGAGACAAAGGCGGCCGGGCGTATTGCTGGGCACCCACCCTCTCGTGTGCCGTGCCGGCCTTCATAGGTGCTCGCTAACAGCACTTGCCCCAACAGTCTGCTGAGGCTATACGGGGGATCCTTGTCTTTGTTTGCATTTGTGTTACGTTATTGAGATGTGTGTGTGTGGTTAGCGCGCTGCGCTATTAACCTGGCGACCCGGGTTCGATTCCCGCTCACGGCCAACACCAGTGACGATTATTTGAACCGGTCCTGGGCCTCCCCTAGGTCGACTCAGCCTCGAATGAGTACCTGGTGCGGTGTGTAAACATCGCCACTGGGGAGACAAAGGCGGTCGGGCGTGGTGCTGGCCACCCACCCCCTCGCTAACAGCACTTGTCCCTACAGTCTGTTAAGGCTATACGGGGGATCTTTGTCAATCAGTTAACCCCATAATCCACGGGTCTACCCCGTGATCTCCTTCGACACTTCGCGTGCACCTAGCTTGGCACAGTCGCTGTGGTGACGTCGTCCCCACTGGCTGGTGAGTGGTGGCTTCTGTGTGCGTCCGTCCGTGTGTGTGCTGCATAGGGGCTTGCTCACAGCACTTGCCCATCGATCTACATGGGATCTATATGGGATCGATATGGGATCAATACGGCTTCAAGGGGGAGCTCTGTGTCTCCGTGTGTGTGTGTCTGCGTGTCACTGTGTCTATATGTGCGCATATAAATGTGTCAGTGCGTTTGTCAGTTTCAAGTTTGTGTTGTTCGCCCAGCTGAGAAACCGAGAGACAAAAAAAGTGTAATTTACAACACGTGACCTGGGGCATGCGTGTGTCGCGGGGGCGATGATTGCGATGTAATACATCCAATTGAGAGATTTGCGAGTAATTTTAGAATCTGGCCATGACGTGGGCACACATCGGCCTACTTTTGCGGATGACAGCAGAGGATCCTGAACGCGAGCTGTCGAACAGACGGCACGGAGCATTATTTCAGGTTGTTGCGCCCGCAGTAATAACCAGGGCGTCCGCTGGAATTCGAACCGCGACTTTTGCAACAAGCGGCGAGCACGCTGCGGCTAAGCCACGTCACTCGCTCGTGTGCATGTGTCCATCTGCGTGTCATCTGCGTGTCAATGTGGGGAACGGTGGCGCAGTGGTTAGCGCGCTGCGCTACGAACCCGGCGACCCGAGTTTTATTACCGTCCATGGCCAACACCCGTGGCGATTACCTGAACCGGTCCTGGGCACACCCGAGGTAGACCCAGGTTCGAATGAGTACCTGGTGCAGTGTATACGCATCGCCGCTGGGGAGACAAAGGCGGTCGGGCGTGGTGCTGGCTAACAGCACCGTGCTCGCTAACGGCACTTGTCCCCGAAAGTCTGTGAAGGCTATAACGGGATCTTTGTTTTGTTTTGTATCAATGTGCGAGAGAGTGTGTGTGTGTGCCAGTGTGTATCGGCGTCAGTGTGTGTCAGCGTTTGCATCCATCTCCCAATAAACCTCGCGAGGGCAGCGTTCTATCAAAATAAAAGTCTCGCACGATTTGACATCTTGACCTTTTTACGCTGCATTCCTGCGTGCAACAAACCCCCTTCCCCCCCCCCCGCTGGTGCCACAATAGCGGTGCACCGGGCAAGTACATCATCGACGTCATTCAAGGCGATGGGAGCTGATGCCGATGCTGATGACAATAGGGGTGGGGGGGGGGGGTTGGTGACAGCGCGAGCTGAGCCGAGAAGCCGACGAACGAAGTTTCGTTCCCCGGGCCGTGAGTAAAGATCGGCGGTGAGTGATGTCCCAAGCACTCGCGGACCTTCTTCTTGGTTCTTTCGGTAAAGTCACGTAGAATGGAAACAATAAAAATAATAAAATAAAACATAATAAAAATAATTCTCACGACGTTTCGGCCACAGACCTGCAGGGATTCAGCTTTCGTGACTGCAGGGATTCATCTTCTTGGTTCTTTCGGTAAAGTCACGTAGAAGGGAAATAATAAAATAATAAAAATAAAACATAGTAAAATAATTCTCACGACGTTTCGGTGAAAACCAGGTCTGTCGGGGAGACAGCGTCTGAACAATGGTGGTGTTTCATTCAGACGCTGTCTCCCCGACAGACCTGGTCTTCACCTGATGACGGCTGCTTGCGTTGTGGCCGAAACGTCGTGAGAATTATTTTATTATGTTTTATTTTATTACTTTTATTGTTTCCATTCTACGTGACTTTACCGAAAGAACCAAGAAGATGCATCCCTGCAGTCACGAAAGCTTTAAATCGAAACTCGTGGACCTCTTCGCGAGCGTGGCGATGGAAATGTGTTCTCCCGATGCCACGATGCCTACAGCGCAATGGTGATGTAAATGGTGGGAAATAATAATCATGAATCGGGGAACATGACGATCACGATGAGGATAATGGCAGTGAGGATGCAGCTTGTTGTCTTTCATCGTTTCAGTGATGTCGATGCTGCTTCTGATGATGCTGCTGATGATGATGATGCTGCTGCTTGCTCACGTGGCAGCTGATGATATTGGCACTTTTGCTGCTGCTGCTGTCGATGAAAATGACAGATTCCATCTCGGCATTCACTCTTTCAGTTTCGAGTTAAACCTGTTAGTGCGTCTCTGGGGAATTCACGAAAGGACGTACAGTACCGTTTGTAGCTTTATTTATTTTTTTAGCCTCAACTTCACAGCGAGAGCGACGGTGTGCCCCCCGTAAATTAGCGCGTGGGGAGCGGAGGGGGTGGGGGAGCGGAAGAGGAGGAGGTGGGGGGGGGTCCTCCTGTGTGTGATCAAGGACAAAGGGACGTGACCTTGACATCTCGCGGTGCCTGGCTGGACACAGGAATTCCACGTCCTTGGGACAAAGACAATGTCACACATTTCTGGAGGTCGTTTGCTCACCGGCGGGGCCGCGTGGGGGGGTGGGGGGGGTGGATGGAGGGATGGGTGAGTGGGTGGTGGGTGGGTGGCGATTGGTAGGTGGGTGGGAGGGGGGTAGGTGGGTGGGAGGGTAGGTGGGTGGGGGGGTTAGGTGTGGGGGGGGGTAGGTGGGGGGGGGGGTGGTGGAGATTGGTAGGTGGGTGGGGGGGTAGCTGGGTGGGTGGGGGTGGTAGGTGGGTGGGGGGAAGTTGGGTGGGTAGGTGGGTTGGTGGGTGGGGTAGGGGGGTAGGTGGGTGGGGATTGGTAGCTGGGTGGGTGGGGGGGTAGGTGGGTGGGGTGGGGGGGTAGGTGGGGTATGTAGGTGGGTGGGGGGGGGAGTAGGTGGGGTTGGTGGGTGGGGGGGGGTAGGTGGGGGGGGGGGGGGGGTGGGGGGGGGGTAGG